CTGGGAATCTTATCACAACGCCAATGCAGTTTACAAGAGTGCTATTCAAGATGCAAAAAACGTGTACTTTAACGTTAAGCTATAGCGTCTATGTTAGCCACTAACCCAAAGCAGTTTTGGAATGTTGTAAGTAAAAAAGAAAAATTCGTAATTTCACTCAAGGCCACGAATGGAAATGTAATTCCTAGCGATGATTGTGCTCGCGTTTTGAATGATGTTTTTTATTAAGTCCTTTCAGACTGTTATTAACACGCCTACGAGTGATTTTTTTGCCTATGGGACCCGTTCTTGTTGACCCATTTGGTATTGTTAAAATAATCGATAACTTAAAACTTTCTTCCTCTGCTGGCGCCCACAGCATTAATTCAAAATTTCTCAAAAAAAAAAAAATGTATTGCTCTTCGATATTATCTCAATTTTTTTTTTCCCAGTCGCTTTCACTTGGAGAGTTGCCTGCTGATTGGAAGATAGGGAAGGTGGTGCCACTCCACAAAGGTGGTGATAAATATTGCCCGGATAACTATCGACCAATTTCGCTTACTAGCATTCCACGCAAGATACCAGAACATATCATCTACTCACAACTAGTTCAATTTTTAGAATCTAACCTTTTCTTTAGTATCGCTCAGCACGGTTTTCGTAAATCCTTCTCTTGCGAAACGCAACTTTTGTCATTCACCCATGATTTGCACCTCGCTTGACCGAGGGTCCCAGGTAGACTGCTTTTTTTTTTTCTTTTCCAAAGCATTCGATAAAGTTTCACACAAGCTGCTGTTATTAAAACTTAACAGTCTATGTTCTGTCCTGGATAACTTGTTTTCTCACTAATCGTTCCCAGTTTGTAACCGCTAACAATGAAAGATCACCACTCGCCTCCGTCAATTCTGGAGTACCGCAAGGTTCTGTATTAGGTCCGCTATTGTTCCTTATCTATATTAACGATTTGCCGAATTCCATCTCTTCTTCAATTAGTTTATTCGTTGATGATTGTGTTATTTACAGAGAAGATACTAACGCCTCGGATGTTCTGAATTCACAAGCTGACATCAACCATGTTTCAAAGTGGTGTGAATTATGGGGGATGGAACTTAACACGACTAAATGCAAGGCCATGAGAGTATCGCGTAAATGTAAATTTCCTTCTTATTTTCTCGAAGATGTCCCCCTACATTCTATCTCTTCTTATAAATACTTAGGCGTGTATATAATCTCAGATATTTCCTGGCAAATGCATGTTGAGTATGTTAATGATAACGCTAATCGAAGGCTGGGTTATCTAAAACGAAACTTTTCACATGCCCCTTCATCTTTGAAACTAACCCTGTACAAAACGCTTGTACTCTATATTACAATATGCCTCTTCTATCTGGGACCCCGGTCCTTCCAAACTAACTAACGCCCTGGAATCAGTTCAGAATCGCTATGCTCGTTTTATTCTTAATAACTTTCATCGAACCACAAGCGTGAGCTCAATGAACACTAGCCTATTGTTGCCTAACCTCAATTTACGTCGTAAAATAGCTCGCTCATGTCCCTTTCATAAGATATACCACACAAACTCATTACTTCACAGCCGACTGCTGAATCATCCGTCTTATATTTCACCTCGCATTGATCATATGCATAAAGTAGACATTCTAAAATGCAACACTAATGCACTCCGACAGTCTTTCATTCCGAAAATTTCAGTGGATTGGAACCGCCTACCCGCATCTATCGCAACAATTATTCCTAACCATTTATTTAGAACTGCCGTAAATAAGCTATACTGTTCAGATTGAGCTGCGAAGTGTACTACTGCCACTAACCCCCACTCCCTTCTGTAATGCCGATGGCCTTGAGGGTATTTTAAATAAATCAAATAAATAAATAGTCGGCATGAAAAGGTGTCTTTCCGGCCCGCATCGGAAAGAAGGAAACAATGACGAAATCGGCTCGATGCCAATTAATCGACGTTACGACTTCCCCGTACGCTGTGTACTACAAGGTGACGTCGTCAGACGTCCATCAAACGTCAGGCTGCTATCGCCGCCTAGCGTCTAATAACATGGATATGGCGTGGACCTGCCGCCTCCATGGAGGGTGTCCACCGGACACCATACTTGAGTGCGCTGGTCACAGCGCAGGCTCAGAACGAGCTCACACTTATACACGAATGCGCTGTTTACAAACAAGTTCGCGTTTTCCAACACCTGGCACAGCACCTGCGCAGAAACCACATCCGCGTGAGGTGCAGCTTCCGCGCATGCGCTGTGCCGACAGCAGCGCCACCGCGGTGCCGTAACGTAAGAGACTTGATGGTGTGGAATGCACGTTGCAAAAGAACTGGAAGCTCGCCGCCAGCACGCGCAAGTTCGTCTGCATGTTGAACAGGATTGCGATGACGTCAGAACGCCAGACAAGCGTTACTACGTGACCAAGTAATGGCGGACAGCCGTTGGCGCGGTCTTTTGAAAAGAGTATATCGTAACTGGCAATCGATAATCCTAGACGTTACGTCACAGATAGGAACTATAACGAGATGTTCCGTCACCGAAATATCTCGTCGCCAATGGTCGAGGAAATACTCCCCGACCTTACGTGTAAATGTGCTGAATTATGTTCGTTTCTTTCTTTTTTCATTTGATTGCGTTTTGGCTGCAAGAATGCTCGAACAGCGGTGCCGGTCGAAGCCATGCGTTTTTCACTTGCCAGGACGTAAAGAAAGGAAATGAAAATTGCCGCATACCTGGTGCATAATTCACGAAACGCGGAAACACATAACGAATTCAAGCGGGGTTGCAAACATGAGGGAAATTTACGCGATTGTGCCACGTCCAGAGCTGGTCAGAGTTAAACTTCGTTTTTGCTTCCAGAGTTGTGAAGTAGATGCAACATTGTAAGGATGGTATGAATAAAACATACCAATATGCATCGGGGCTTGTGCCCCCCCCCCCCCCCCCTGGTAAGATCCGGGGGGGGGGGGGGGGGGGAGCAACCCCCCCCCCCCCCCTCTCTTCCCCTTGCGAGATCTCGTTTGAACAGATATTCTGCAGCTGCGGGCTTTATTTCCATGTATTAAAGAGAAAAGACTCGTGGTGGAGTGGATTACTGCTTCTGAAGCACATGGGCCTGGGTTCTACTCCCATAACTTCGCAACTGGCACAAGCATTTTGCTTTTCTTCAGATTTGAGCTCGCCGGCGCCTACGCCGTGGTACCGGCGATGAACACACGGCTACGCTTGCACGGTGATTGACATTGACGTACAGCGACAGACACATGGAGATATACATACGCTGTAAAATGTACCCCCTAAAATAAGCTGCTGATAACTGCCGGTGTAAAAAAAAATTGCGCGAAAAAGCACCCCCCCCCCCCCCCCCCCGGGAGAACTTTTCAGCCTGCCCCCCCCGCCCCCCCCGGGAAAATTGAAAGTCTACGCCGCTGCCCTCACCTTTAATCATCGCCCTCTCCCTCTACTTTGATTGGTTGACGCGTGTGAAGCATGGGCAACGTGACGAATTGCGTTATTGTTATTCTGTGTGACAACCATCTTTGAAAGTGACTTTTTTTGTTCCCTTGTCTGTTGGCTGCTATCTGTGGTGTACGGCACGCAGTTTTTGCGAATGATTCATGAGTCGCTGAATATATATATTTTTTTTCTGAGATTTAGCCGATACACATTTTTGAACCTGCCTTCAGGCACTGATGTCAGCATGGAAGCGACCAAGAAATTCCGTGCGGTATAAAAATCAAATTAACGCAAGAAAAAAAGAAAAGAAGGCAGGTTCACGCTTGTTCCGCGTTTTTGCCTGGTCGAGATTCAGACATGGTAATTAGTTGCAACTGGCACAGCAACGAGTGGTCGCCAAGACAACCGTGCGCCGGATATCACGGGACGGCAGAATCAAGAAATAGAAAGCAGGTATAGCTACGTGCTCAGAAGTTGATAGTGAAACGGTTCGAATAAAACTCGCAACTCTTTCAATGAGCAACAACAGTTTAATAATCCTTCCGGGCACTTTTTTCTTTTGTAAGTGACTGCCCGGACACATGTGCCATAACATATATTTTCTAAAAAAAGAAAAAAAAAAAGAGCCAAACAAATTTATTGCGCAATTCGGCAATATTCTTTTTTTCCGGGACGTTGATTTTGGGGTCATTCTGTGATCACACACCTGTCCTGTCGCGGCATTTCAATATCTTTTTTGGGGGTACTGTTTTATTTTTTAAGTTTGACGATGCAAGAAGTTAAGCTTTGACTCGTCATAGATGCACTCGCAATTTCCAAATGACACCGCGCTCTGACCGGACCATGGAGTGACCCTGTGCCGTCTACCTACCTAAATTCTGTCGTAAGGGGGTCTAGAATGCTTTTCTTTATTTCAGTCTGCGGAATGTCAAACATGTTATAAAAAATAAGAAAGAAAAAAAAAAACACTAAAAACTTTTTTTTTCTTTTTTTACAACTTAAGTGTACACGTTTGTTCTGGTATTTGCATCGTTCATGGACGAGTGGATTTCACTGAACAGCGTTTTGATAGAAATTTCCATCATGAAACGAAAATCGCTGCACGCTGTGTTGGTATCGCAAGATTTTCGGGAGCGTACCTCTTCTCGAAAGGGTGCGTAGTCAAACGCAAGTGTGTGAATAGGCCTTAACCGCAATCATTTTATCCATTCTACCAACCTCATTAGGTAAACACCAAAGCGGTTTCCGGATCTGTTGTCCTCTCTGTGAAGGCCCACACGCTTTTAAGACACGTGCTCTATTATTTTATACTATGTGCCTTTTTTTCGTAATCTCAAATTTGGCGGCTATCCCGTCTCGATGTCGATGCAAATTTGTCCATGGGGACATTTGTACATTGACTCGGCATCGCACCTTTGACGTAAAATATGCTTAATAAGACAGCTCCCGTTATAAATGCTACGCATTATAAATGTCAACTTGTTCGTGTTTTAAAGTTTCGCGAAGGTACTTGCGCGTTTACGACGTCACTTCCACATCCGCATTGACGTCAGCTGTAATCGGTTGGCCGGCTTTGACGCTCGATGGCTTGATATCTTTCGCCTGTGTGGAGGAACCCGTGCGGACTCGATTGTTGTGTGCTCGTCGTCTCTCCAGCGCCCGACCATGGCCAGCAAGTCGGAGAGGGAACGCCAGAAACAGATCCAGGACAAATGTCAGGCCATCCTCGGTCAGCTCCTGCGCGAGGAAGACAACAAGTACTGCGTGGACTGCGATGCCAAAGGTTCGTGGTGCAACGCCGCCGCTCTTACAAGGCCTAGACGACTCGTCACTGGTCGCGACCTCCCGTCATCTCAGCTCTTCTGAGAATCAGTGGCTGGGGTCCGCTACGAATCGACGGAAATATGAGAATAACTAGAAGGCCCGCAGGTGTAAGACGGTTCCGGTATTCGTATTTGTGGGGGCCACCGACCCCAAGGATTTGAGAAGGTTCAGCCATTTCCTCTAGCATCTGTCGAGCGACAAAGCTCGGGGGGTGGTATTTCCTCTGCCCGTTCCCGCCTCCTGTTGTGAGAACCTCTCGTGCAACAACGCAGCTGTGCGACGCGTCGCCTGTTTAGGAGTCGAGATTTTTGACCAAGATAGAACGATGTAGGAGGTGCTGCGATGGCTGCTGGATGTGTGGTTCTCGTCGTTCGCAGGGCCGCGATGGGCGTCGTGGAATTTGGGGATGTTCCTCTGCATCCGATGTGCGGGCATCCACCGGAACCTCGGCGTCCACATCTCCAGGGTCAAGTCCGTCAACCTGGACACTTGGACGCCGGAGCAAGTTGCCGTAAGTCGGGAGCATTCCTTGTTTTTGCGGGGATTGGTTGACCATAGCCGCCTGATGGTTCGACGCGGTAACTCGGGTTCGTTGACGCTTTAATTGTTACGCTTGGACTTGATGATATCTATGTGCATGTGTAAGGGTCTCTTGGAGGCAAGGAGTACCTGAAGTGAATCTTGAGTTCGCGTGTATGGATGAATATTTGTAGACGTCTTGCCGGAGCTTGTGCTCTAGATTGGCCCTGGAGCATCAGTATCAGTGGAACTGCCTTGATAGGGTCAAGTTGTGAGATGCTACCAAAGCACTTATTAATGCTTTGGTTGCGTGACTAGTCAATCATGACACTAAGCCCCTCATGCTTGATGTCACTGAAGATCTTACCATGATAATCAAGCTTGTCCATCACATCGCAGTTCAGGTGCTAACGAGAAATGTACATTGATTACTTCTTTGAGGTCTCTCAGAACAATTTCATTTCAAACAAACATAAAAAAAAAAGCCTCAAAGTTTTAATAGTCTAGCTCCCTGCACTTCATTGTGATTGAAGGACATATTAGTAGAAAAAATTTTTGAAGCGGTCTTTGGTGTTCCTTTAATTCAACACTTCTAATGTGTGCATGTCCCCTTCTAGTGTCTGCAGCAGATGGGCAACAGCAAAGGCCGAGCTGTGTACGAGGCTAACCTTCCTGACAACTTCCGGCGGCCCCAGACGGATTCGTATCCTTTGGAGCACAGTTCAGATCGTGATAATCAATTAAAATAATTTCCGTTTGTCCAACCTGTGGCAAGGGCTCTGCAATGAAATACGGGTGGGCAATAACAGATGAACCTCTCCTTGTGACCGGGGAGAGTTGTGATTTGTTGGTTAGCTTCTGGCAGCATCATCAGGCTAAGGGTTACTATTTGTCCTAATTTATGCACCTTTTAATGAAGACAGTTGGCACCGAAATCTTTTATGACACTTTTATAGTTAAAAAGGATAGGTCGTTTCTTCTGCACGCCTTACCTGCTGCAAAGTACCATCAACCTGTGGTGGTACTTTGACTGTTTGTTCGTCGCCAGAGCTCGAACGACATCGAAGTATCGTAGATAATGTCGGACTGACACTGGGTGTCTAAACCAGTGGCATAGCCAGGAATTTTTTTCTATGCCTCTTGCTGACTGTTGTGTTTTTTATGTTGCACTTGATGCGGAGTGGTTGACCTTACATGGTAGCTGCTCAGATCGCTAGAAGCATTCATCCGTTCGAAGTATGAGCAGAAGAAGTACATTGCCAAGGAGTGGGTCCAGCCACCCATGCCGCCGCCTGCCGTAAGTGCTTTACCGCTGTTCTCCAACTCGAGGCGTTGGGTCTAACGGCGACTGTGCTTGTCCAGTGGCCACCTTGAGAGTTGCTCAAGTTTTCGGTCTTGTTTTGTACAGTTCGATATTGAAGAGGACCGAAAGAAGGACAAGGAAAAGAAGCGGCCCAAGGCCAAAGCTAGCTCGTCGGAGGTGCCTGTGAGTAGTCTTTGCTTTCCGTTTCGGGTGCCTCTAAGGTAATCGTAGAGACACTTGTCTAATGCAAAGTGCAGGAGTTATCTTCCTTCCTTCTCGTTAGAATAGCATGCAAAAGAAAAAAAATTTCTTTGCCAGACTCTCTTTTCCCTGAATCTAGGACGTGGAAAGCTACATTCCAGAATCGCGTCTTGCCTGCAATATCCGTGAAACTCTACACTGCGAAAAGCCGCTGTCGGGAAGCAATTAGCAAACAAATTGTTCTGTTCTTGGATTGCGTTTTCAGCATGTGCTTAATCAATGCCAGCAGTAGATTGTTTCTCTCTATCAGTTCATTGTTACATGTTTCATGTTGTTCGTCATTTCGAGCAAGAGGCGTTCGGCTTGAAACATTGACTCAAACATTCATTCTTCCCGCGGTGTCGCAGAAGGTGCCACACAAAATGTCGTAAAACGTGATTGGGCAAGTAACCATGGTGACAACATTGGTTGGTGATCAGAGCGCAGTTCTTGAAAGACTTCAAGGCCTGCTTCAGAGGGGGAAATTTGCCCCCCAGTTTTGGTGTTGCTGGCAAGTTTTTCCCTAGCTTTCCTTAGATCCTTGCGCTGCAACACAAATTCCTAAGATTGAGTCCGGCTCGGAATGGTCGAGCAACTCGGACAACTTCGAGACGTTTGAAGCGGCAACAGCCAGTCGGGGGACGCAATAGTTTCGCATGACACCCTTGTGGTGGTGGTGATGACAAATAAAGACTTGGTTGTGGCTTGAAATGGATTATTTTGGTGAAAAAAATCCTTTCAGAAAGATGAGGTATTCTAAATGCCATTTAAAAATATAAAAACATGTTTATAGAATGTAACTGCAAGTGTAAATAGTGCAAGAAAATTATAATTCAATGTTGATGGTGGCAAATCGTAGCAATTCGGTTGCTGCGTTTCAACGCGGGTGGCCCGTGTTGCTCGTGTTGCGAATTCAAGTTGCTGGGAGAAGGCCCGCTTCAGACCGGGCAATTTTCTCAGCAATTTTTGGGGTTGCTGCCGAGTTGGTCTCTATAATTGCCCAGATCCTCGCGCTGCAATACGAATTGCTGGGATTCAGTCCGGCTTGAAGCGGGCGAGCAGCTCCAACAGCTCGGGGATATTTGAAGCGGTAGCAGCCAATCTGGTACGCTATGTTTTCACATGACACCTCTCATGGTGGTGGTGATAACTGAACAGGGGGCTTAGCCTGGGTTTGAGTATGAAATCCATCATTTTTACGACTAACTGGCTTCAGCAACGTGAAATGCTATCCACAGCACCATAAAAAAAATGTACCGTGAAATCCCGTAGGGCGCCCACCCAAGATAAATGGTGAAAAACATGAGGTGGGCCGTCTTTTGGGGATGAGATGCCATAAATTTTTGAAAAATTAATGATAAATACAAGGGCACCCGCTACAAACCACGTGACGTGGGAACTGATACCAACCCCTGGAATCTTCCTATACCTCCCATTGGGACTCCAATTGCAGACGGCAGTGCCAAATCTCCCCTGACGTGTGGCAAGTTTCTACAAAAACAAGAAATAAACAAAAAATATGCGCATCGTCGTCATGGCAATTGCTAGGTTATGGGAGAAGGTGTGAAAAGTTGTCCATCCTCTCCATCTCTCACCCTTGCCCACAATTGGGTGCAAGTTCGTTTGGAGTCCGGAGCAGCCTCTGAACTCCAAACGAACATGCATCCTATTGTCACCTAGGTTGAGAGAAGAGGGAACAGCTCTGAACTCTGAACAAGCTTGCATCTCATTGCCGCCGTCTCATTCTTCTACAAAACAATGTAATGGCAATGCCTTTTCTAGATAAAGTTAAGCTTTTTTTTCTGCGAATTTCCGACGCTCCCAGAAGGATTGCACTTGACTTTGCTTCGCTCTATTGAGATCAGCTCAGTAGCAGTGAATGTCCAGGGATAGCCACTTCTCATTATATAGTGAATCAATGAATGCAAAGTGCACCCAGCTGCTGCTGCTGTTTCGCGGCTTAAAATGAGTGCACATTGCCAGTCTGAGCACGAGTACAAACTTCTTTTGCTAGTTCTCTTTTTATTAGGCACGCTCTTTATACAGAAAAAAAAAGTGTTCACTTCACGGCACAACAAAGTAAAAAAAATCTACACAAAAGTACTATTCAAGTACTTGCAGACCTGCAATTACACATTCAACTTTGCTGTAATTAGCGACAGGGATTCGATTGCCAAAGTATATCGCAGGTTCCTTCTGCAGCACGAACTTCTCCACGCACCCGCTAACGAGCTCCGGTGCCCTATCACCGATCCCCCCATACCGCTCGTCTTAACATAAATTCCCTGTCCCTTCTGACCTTCTACAATAACTCTACCAATATGAAACCAACATGCAGCAGCAAGTTTTTGGCAATCCGAAACTGTATCACCAAGCAGCCCCTGCCTTTACCTTTCATCACTCGGGAACCCAAAGTACTTAGCAGCGCTGTTGCCACTAGAATGAGAGCACCACTGAGTCAAGCAATATACAAAGTGCCGTTTGCTCGGCACACTGGTAGACAAAATAGATCGATAATTAACAGGCCAATGCCACTGCCTGCTGCCGCAAATGAAAACCACCACCGCCAATGCCACTGCCTGCTGCCGCTGGCACAGGCGCCGTTGAGCAGCCGACGTGCAACTGCTCTCAATGGTCAAAATGCAAAAAACAACCAACCAATGAGTGCAAAGTATGACGGCGAAACTTTAGCTAACCAAAATATTTGTTTCACCTTAGCAGGATAAATTTTTAAATCTGTAAATAGCAACAATATTAAGTGTCTCATCCTATGAATTTTTTTGGCATAAACTGGAATTTCCTAATAAAATACCAACAAATAAGAGATGGCACTCAAATAGCTGACTGCAGTCTCTCAAAGATTCCGGGGTTGCTTATACTGCAGATAGCAGACACGGCAAATTCATGTTTTACGTGATAAGCACGTGTTAGTTCGCCACAATCTTCCGTGTCACGGGAAGAGATACTGCAGATGCAGCAGATTCATGCTTCACGGTATGATAGATGCGCAGAAACCGGCTAAACTTGCTTGCCATGGTAACTGATATCGTGCGCGCAGATTGCGGACAAGAAACATTGGAACTCTCCATGAACCTGCATGTCTTGCGTACTGGTACCACAGATCGCACGGCTCACATGTTTCTGGTCGGACATAGTGTGACATTGGATGGGAATAGGGGGGGGGGGGGGGGGGGGGGGGGGGGGGGAGGAGAGGGGGAGGGATGTTTCGGAATTTTTATGTTGTAGCCAGAAAAAGGGGATGGGTTGTTACAGCTAGAAAAAGGGGATGGATCATTTCTTGGGGGAGGGTGCCCTTACGGGATTTTACGTTAGAAATGCGTTGCTAATGGGTAACTTTGTGTTTAAATAGTGCAACACATTTAAAATTTTAGTGACCATGATAATGAAATACGGCGATTTGAGCTTCAGCAGCTGCTGCGCGGGAGACCTGCGATGCCGGTGTCGCGATGTCAGGGTGTTGGAAAAATTGCCCTGTCTGAAGCGGGCCTTTTATTACTGACAGTGGAGAACGGCAGGTCATCTCTTTCGAACGTCCAACCTCCAGCTTGCGCTTTTTGCCACACTTGCGCGGTACTCATTACAAGTAATCAAATAGTTTGCAATTGATTACTTCCGGAGTAATTTGATAGCCATTTGATTAGTTCATTTATTAGCAAGTAATTGCAAGGGCAATCCGATTACTTTTCAGAGTACTCAAATTAGCTGTAACCGTTACCATTTTTTCCTCCCCTTTCTAACCACACCTATTGTACAAGTTTCCTACCGAGCGAACCAAGTCTCCGACGGGAGGGTGGTTTGCCAAAGGATTAAGAAGATAAGTAGTTATATAAATTTGTGATTCTAGTCTGATAAGACACGTGAAAGGCCCCGTTTCAAACCGGCAAAAGACTCTGCCGTCTTGAAAATTTGAAATATAATCGGAAAAGTAACAGTTACTTCTTGAAGTAGTGATGGCCAACTACTTTTATTTGTAAGTGATAAAGTATTCCAATTGAACACCTTAACCCCTTAACTGGGTACTTTTCTGACCAAAAATATTTGCAAAATGGGGAGTTTTTTTTTTTTAAGTGTTTTGAGCTCTCGAAGCTATAACAATGATCCCAGAACGTAAAACAAGTTTATTTACATCAATTTACAGGGTTCACCACACATTTAGTAGTTGGTCTTCGTATGGTACTCCATAAAGCACGGAGCGACGCAAAGAGCCACACTGCAGTCTTTGCATCTGTAGATCGTCTCTTTTCTTCGGTTGTGTGCAAGGCACACCACACACCTCTTGTGAGGGTGCTTCTTGGTGCTCTCCCCTTCGTTGAAATCGGGGAAATGTCGTCCCAAGAGGCGTGCTGGAGAAGGCTTCGATGGTGGACGACCAATCTTTGCCGCTGTTACACTTGAAGACCCATAGGTTTCGAACAGGCTGTTGGAAAGGTTCAACTGGAACGTCAGCTGGTCTCTTGCAGATCCCAGCTTTGTCGACAGGATGAAGCAGTTGAAACTGGTCACGTCAATGAGGTGCCGGAACATTTTCACGTAGTACTTCTTGAGTCTCTTTCTGGCCATACTGTACGTCATGACGCATTGGTCAGCAAGATCAACACCCCCGATTCCCTTGTTGTAGTCCACGCAGGCTCTTGGTTTCTGCACTTGCTTTCCTGCTCTGGTGGTCACGCTTGACATCTCTCCATTATGAACGGGGCTTATCATGAGCACATGTTTTTTGTCCATCCATTTTACCATGCACAGTTTTCCACGGAACTTCACAAAAGTTTTGCCTTTTGCCAGCTTCTTTTCTTTCAAGTCCTTTGGGATTTCCTTGCGGTTTACCCTGCAAGTTCCAACGGCGTCAGTTTCCAACTTGCACAACAGGTCAAAAAGCACTGGCGAGCAGTAATAGTTGTCCATGTGCAAAAAGTAACCCTTGCACAGGAGATCTTGCGAAAGCGAAAGCACAACTTGGGATGGTTTGTGAAGTTTCGATGCGTCAACTCCGGAGATGTTGCATTCATACTTTGTCGTTTTTCCCGTGTAGACACGGATATTCCAAACATATCCACTTGCTGACTCGCACAATCTGAAAGATTCCATTCCAAATCTCGCTCTTTTCATAGGAATGTACAGCTTCCATCCAAGTCGTCCTTTCCAGAGGAGAAGGCTCTCGTCGATGCAGATATCTCGCTGAGGCGTGTAGGCCTGCTGGAACTTTTCCACGAGATGTTCAAGGATGGGACGAATCTTGTGGAGTCTTGGATTCGGCATGTCTTTGGGCACTGCCGCTTCATTGTCCGCGAAGTGCAGGTACTTCAGAAGCAGGCAGAACCTTTTTTCTGTGAAGAGCTGGTAAAATATTGGAGTCTCCAACAGAGGTTGTCGCGTGAAGTATGAATTCAGGGTGGGCTTCTGAACAATCCCCTGCAAAATCCAGACGCCTAAAAGAAGCTTGATCGCTTCCTTAGTTGTTGGTATCCAATCTTGTTCTCTGCTTCTCGCCTTCATTTTGCCAGAAGCACTCTTCTCGAGGATTTTTTGTGATGCGTACAAGTTTGTGTTGTCCGCTATCAGTTGACAGATTTTGTCATCAAGAAAGTATTCAAAGATGTTGAGTGGGCTCACATCATCAAGCTGAATGTGAACTCTGGCACTTCCCACAAATCGAAATGGATCTCTCACCGTGCCAGTGTCTTGCCAGGTTGCAGCAGGCCCCGAAGTTGATGGTGGTGCCGTAAACAATTGTTCCGCTGCGTCATCATCAGCTTCCGTGTCGGATCCTGAAGAGCATTCATCTGAACTCGAGAAATCAACATCGCAGTCGGAGTCCTCGTCAGTACTTTGCAGCAGCTCAGCGACTTCTTCGTCAGTCAGGGGACGCCGGCATTTGCTGGACGCCATTTTCCAAACAAACATTCAAACGTGTTACACAGAGGTCTTCAATCTTTTTTTTTGTGCTGCCATCTATCCATCGTTTTTTAAAACTAAAAATGTTTCCAATCTATGATGATAGATGGCGCATCCTCCCCGTACGATAAAACGAGCGAGCGTCTAAAGACGTGCTTCCCAACAGCGAAGGCAGTGCAGCGCGTCTACAGACGCGCCCCCCAAGCTGCGGTCAAAATTGCCGCGCGTCTAAAGACGCGCTCCCCAGTTAAGGGGTTAACCAAGAGTAATTGTAATCCTTTACTTTTTTTGGGGTAACACCTTGGCTGTGTGTGCACGTTCAAGGCTCGGGAGACGTCAGTGAAGGTAGGAGCCTCGCGCCGGAGGCAGGACAACTGAAGGATTGCCTTGCCGTCCTCATTCTGTCTGTGATTGTATATAGCCTACTCTGTGTGATTAAGGTGTTTTGCGCCTACTTCTAGGAGACAAACTCTTTCTATGACCCCGTGCAGGGTCTGGCGGGTGCCAAAGTGGCGTTGCCACGTCCCAGCGCCAGTGGACAGACAGTGCCAACCGTCGTTCCGGTTTCTGCAAGTTCCCACCATACGGCTGACCTACTTGGACTGGGTACGAATCATGACCACTTGTCTGCTTCTCGCTTCTAGACGTATGCGAGTTTTCCTGACCAGACATTCTCTGTTGGCTTTGCATTTTGTGGTTGTGCGCTCGCATTATACATTATTTAAGGGGGAATGATCTTTTTAACACCTTTGGCTAGGTGTTCGGCATTTCGTGAAGCCCAAATAAAAACGTGATTGCAAGGCTCTGCTTCGTTTGCTCGATGAGTGGGAGAAGGGGAGTGATGTGCTTGACGCCGATTGGTCACCAGGAGGTTATGTGACCAAAGGGTTAGGTGAGGAGGAGCTTGACTGCCTGTGCGCACTGAGGGAGAGTGGCTTGAGAGTATAGAAGGCTCCGTAAAATCGCCAGGTTTATCAGCCCGATTGGCGGTAGTGTCACTTCATTCTAGGAGCAACCGTCAAGTGTACACCTAAGCGTTAAACTATGTGAATATCTGATTCGCTTAAGAAGGCTAGCGAGCAAACCTGCCACCACAGCTTTCTGTTCTAGGAGTTGCCAACAGGTAGTAAATTCTATCAGGGGCTCGACCCATGTCAGCGCTTCATGTATATAAATTGAAACAAATTGAAAAAGTAAAGAACAGACTCTCTCCGCTCGTCAACGTACGAAAATGACAGTGCTTGAGGAAATGGTTGAGTCGAGTACGGTTCATTCACCCATATGTTTTCGATTGTGCCCCCTATAGCCGAGATACCTGTAGTTGTTGAAGGCCGCGGACTTCCGCTTCTGACGCAGACATGTCATCTTCCGCGGCTGAGCCTCCCGCAGCTACAGCGGCCGACGATCCTTTTGACGAGTTCCTGAGCGCTAGCCCCGTAGCGGTGCCGGCACAGCAACAGAAGCAGCAGACGACGACAGTCGGGGATGCGTCTGCTGTGAAGGCGGAGGAGCGCGCCTTCTTCAGCCAGACGGCTCCCCCTGCAGAGACCACCCGCAACGTGCTCACCAAGGAGTCGATCCTGTCGCTCTACAACAAGAACAACTCCTCGGCTGCCTTTGGGGGTCAGCAGCCCCCCCAGATGGCGCCACAGCACATCTACGGCATGCAGGGTGAGCGGACGGGACTCATTGTATTTAGGTGTTGGTCAACACCGAACGTCGCGCGACGTGGGGATTGTGGATCCCTGATGGGACCACATGAACATCATTTAGAGTGGTGGTTCTCAACCCCTAATGTTTCGGGGACTCCCTTTAGGAAGCGGCAGAAGTGATGGGGGACCCTATCCACTGGGAGGGAGATGGGGGGAGAAGTGTGGTGTTGGTAAATGACGCAAGCGTGTGCTAACCAATTTTGAAGTTCTGAAACCGAAAATAATCGACCCTAGTCACTCCGCGCAGATGGTTTGGTCTATTTAGCTTTGTAAAATAACGTAAGCAGCATAAAAAAGAAAGAAGTCTTTATTGCTGTGTTTAATCGATGGCTGAAGACTTCGGAGAGCTCAAGAAGGCACCCCTCGTTTAGACGGAATTAAAAGAGGCTTTAAACAGTTTGCCTAGAGGTGAATTTCAGCGTTATGTCCCGTGAATTTGAATATAACAACTATTTGCCTTCAAAGTATTGCAAAACACGAGAAAACAAAAAGAAATAAAAAACAACCTTGGGAAGTCGTGTCAAAAGCAGACTTCTGGCTGCAGAGCAGGTACCACTTTGTGCATACGCTGCGCCTTCTTGCACGGGCACTAGTTTGGGTGTCCTGCTTGCAACTATGGCATTTTTAGAAAGTAGTGTCTTCATAGCTTTGACTGCACCACACACAAGAATGGCATTTTGAAGCCATTACTATTGAAGTTTGGTATGACAATGGAGCTATCGCACACAAATCCCAATGTATGTAGAACACACCTTTCGTGAAGCTTTTTCCGCTATATTTAGTGCGAAAGGTTTTTTGCTACGTTTAGGTCGTACCACACATTTTTTTGTCATAGTCTCGGGGGTGTCCTATACAAGTATGAATAGAACCTTGTGGATCCAATCTCATACAGGGAGGAGAAAATTCGTGGTCAAGTGCACAATCAAGTATTGGGGGGTTATTTTTTTTACAAATGTTTTTGTTTTAGTTAGTGTTGAAAAATTAACGGTTTGGGTGGGCAGTTACAATTTAGCTCATCTGGCTGTTGGCTTTTTTCACTAGGCAAGTTTGAATGCTTTTCTATAGGGTGTAATTAACACCAGAGCTCACTTTTAAATCTGACAGAAAAATTGGCACCTGTATGTAACAATCTCGAATTTTCATCAAAGGTGCGTGTTTTTACGTTGCGAAATTTCTTGGCATAGCTCTCTTGCTTGCGAGAGAGTGAGGCCGACGCCCTTGACACTGACGCAGATGACCGGGTTGTACTTGTGGCGCCATCCCTTAATAGGTGCAGCAAGCAGACTACGCGCCCGTTGAAAGCGGGCAACTCTGTCGTATCTCGTTGCCACGCCTATCCGGAGATGGCACCACAAGCATGTATTTTGTTGCAATCTGCTGAAAAAGTAGCTTGGCTGTCGAACAGTTCACGTAGGAGTCTAGAATGCATTTTTGGTTTTGTCACAGGGGGTCCCTTTGGAACTGCTCAGGGCTACTTGCCAGGAGTACAGCCCTTGCCCACAGCACTGCGCATTGCACAGGTGAGGGCCTGCTGTGCACACAGCCTTTTTACCAAGTTTTTACCGAAGCCGCCGTGCGCCCAGTGAACCCAACTTCATAGTTTGGGCGTTCAACTAGCTTTCAAATTGAATTACTGCATTCCAGCGAGCTAGAAAGGGAATGTGGGTCAACTTGAACGAGCATCTGCTTTGAGAGGAGGGGGAAAAGTTCCTGTAGGTGACCTTGGTGCTACAACCAATCGCACCCCGTATTTAGTGCCTGGCCCAGTCTGGTGGCGATTTAAAGATTGGGGTATGCTTTTGTTTTTGCTGCCTAAAGGGCAACTCTGCTTAATTTTTGGTTTTGAAAAAAACTATGCAGTCCTTTTCAGTATCGCCTAGGAAGACCACACTTCAAATATTGCGACACAGTTCAGTCTAAAATTGTTTCTTTCCGGCAAACTTTGCAACTCGCCAAGTGGCCGAAATCGGATGACTCGAGCGGGCGAATTCAGGCGCAACCAAAAACGCAGTCAAGGCTACGGCGTGGACGTAGCCAACATTGAGCTAAACGTCATCACCATTGCCTCCTTTTGCTTGTTTTGACTTTTCTGTGCATGACGTCAGCAACGTTTCCTCTCGGCGCTCAGCGGTGTCCACTTGATTGGCATAACGCGTCTGCGCAGCGCGCTTCTTGGGAGCCGTACGGCCTACCCGCCACGATTCTGCCGTTGCCACCATCTCCTGCGTCACAACCGCCGTCGTCGTCTCGCCGTTCGCCATTATTCTCTCTCGGAGTTTTGTCCACACTATGGGTACTTCATGCGCAGACATATGCTGCAGTTGTGCAGCCGTCTTCAAATGTCGTAGACACCAAAATGTGGCGAAGAGTGCGGTGCAGACGATACTTGCGCCTGGCACGCACCCGCCCCAATGCCGCCCGTCGTTGCGTAGAGGATCACGTGACATCTCATACCACGTGATGGCCATGTTTGTGGTGGCCCGAGGCCAATGTTGCCGGACGGAGCTGAAGTTTCGGTTTTAATTTCCGCTTGTGTTTGAATTAGATTTAAAAATATATATCCCATTTTTTGCGAAGCAAATGACGTGTCCTTTACTAGGGATTTTTAATGCAGAATCAATCATTATCCCGAAATCTTTAGAATTGAGCAGAGTTGCCCTTTTAGGGGGGACACTACCTGGAAATGTCAACTTTTGAACCGCTCACTCAATCGGTGTGAGATTTGCAGCCTGCAGGTGATGTTTGTAGTCGTATAGAAGGAGGGCATGCAAAGCCCTGTGAGCCAATTTTACGAGTTACTATACCCCCAGAACGATGTAAAGCATAGCTTTGCATGGAATCTGCTCAAAAAATCATCAATGAGAAATGGTGTTGATAACCATACACTCTTCTGGTGGAATGTGTACTGGAATACCTGCTGCCGGTTGCTGTAAAAAGAAATTTCAGAAAATATTAAATTTCCAGGTAAAAATGTATTATAATTTTTTATAATAAAGGAACATGAAAATGCAAAATCTAAGCTCATAGAAACCAGCTTTATAAAAGTTTGGCATATAAGCCACAAATATTAAGCCTCTATAGTTTCATACCGAAACGATAGTTCTGTTAAAGTGAACTTTATGCCAAAAAGTGGAACGGAGAAATATGTGTTAGAAGTGCTCGGACCTCTACCTTTTATTTAGCATCACTGGACTGAAAATAATTTATAAAAAAATAACTATGCAGTGTAAACAAATGAAAACTTTCTGGGAATACTCTCTAGATGTTGGTGTATGTAAAAAGTGGCATTTTTGAAAATCGACTTTTTTTGCAGAAATTTCCTTTTTCTGGGTAGTGTCTCCCCTGAATTGATTCAGGCGGATGTAATGGGTCTTTTCAAGTGACAAGCGCCGTCCGGGGGGGGTCGTCTGCGAACTACGAATGAAGGGCAGGCCCAACGTGCATCTGCCCAGCGAAACTCTTCGGCATTGTGCCGTCTTATTGGTTTTCGTTGCTTTTTATGCCCCTTACTACCGATGCGACAGCAGAAAGCAAGGCCAGGGGAGAGGCTGCACGGATACGCGAAGGATTACTGGAAAAGGCTCCATTACACACCATTTGGATGGCACGATTGTTGTCGGCTTTGCAAACAGAGCAAAATTGATGCATTGAGGGGGAGAAGGTTTTATTGCGGTCTCAATAATGGGTAGGCATACTTGCACTGGTGCTTGTTGCAGTGCTTTTACTCTTTTTGTGTGCCGAAGTTGAGGCTCGTGGGGTTGTCCTTTGGGCACATGAAATACTTGCATCCCTGCAGGCGCTACATGCACGGTTTTCTGGGGATCTGCGAAAGAGTCTGCCGCTTAAATAGAACTGGCAAATTTCGTTGGTGACGGACCGGTATGGGTGGGTTGGTGCTGGTATTGGCCTCTTGGTTTTTGAACGTGAGCACCTGTGACATCAGTCTGACTTGCCTGCCATGGACTTAGCAGGTTGAGTTAACTCTACAAGCCGATTTCGGATTCCAGACAAGTACAAGAAATCCGGCGAAGGCAACTTCTGTAACTAGCCTTGTGTAATTTGGTTGACAATCTCTCTGCACTGCAGTCAACCGTAAAAGGCTCGGAGCAGGGGGGCAGCATAGATACCTTTTTTTAGTCCTGCTTTCAGCATGTGCTTGCTGGCTTAGATGTCGGTTTGATGTACAATAGCATCGTTAGTCTGCATGCAGCTACTGTTTCACCGAAGGTAGGAGGATTGAATGGGGAGTAGAGTATAGAGAAAAAGCTTGTAGTTTCCCGTTTCTTCAGACCCTAAGCTTCCTTCGTTCAGTTCTGTGTTTGTTTACATTTCAGTGTAGTAATGTTGTTATTCACCAGTGTTTATAGTTTTGCAGAGATTACCTGTCCACTTGTTTGTTTTCTTTGTGACCATTTTGCAAAGGCATAAGACTTTCTTGTACTTATAAAGTATGGTGCTGGTGTGTGTGTCGACTGTTTTGCACAAGGTACAACGAGATTATTGGAACCGTCCAAACGTCACTATCCTTGCAGCCACAGCAACAGTTGCAGCAACAGGGGCAGCTGCAACAGGCACAACAGGCACAGTTGCAGCAGGGGCAACTGCAGCAAGCACAACTTCAGCAGGCATTGCTGCAGCAGCCACAACTTCAACAAGTACAGTTGCAACAGGCACAACTACAGCAGCCACAGCTGCAGCAGCCACAGCTGCAGCAAGCACAGCTGCAGCAAGCACAGCTGCAGCAAGCACAGCTGCAGCAAGCACAGCTGCAGCAAGCACAGCTGCAGCAGGCTCAGTTGCAGCAAGCGAAGCTACAGCAGCAACCTGGCAACGGCGGTTTTGCAGCAGCAATAGGACTGGACGCTCAGCCGTTCTGCAGCAATCCGTTCCTCAGTAACTCGTTTGGATCCAATGGCCAAGCCCAGTTGCATCTGTCACAGGTCTGTCTTCTGGCATCTGCTGAATGGTGTGGCTGTGTCCTTGGATTCTCCTCTGGCGCTCCTTTGCTGCTCTTCCCACCTGCTGCTATGCATCTTTGCTGTGGCTTTGTTTTAGCTTCTGCAGATTCCAGTCATCATCATCATCATTCTCCTCCTCCCCCCTATTGTTCTTTTTCTTTGTGTTCTCCCTTTTTTCTTGCTGCCGTGCGGCTTGGTTCTATCTTTGGCTTTGCGTCTCTGGCTTTTCACGCATTTTCTTTTTGCACTGGCTGGTGCTGTCTTTTTGACACCTCGTACGCTCGATACTGACCGATTAGATAACGGTGAACACGGGGCTGTCTTTCTTGCTTTTTGAGTGATTGCTTCAGCTTTGAATACTGAGACAATGTGAATGTTAGAGCTTTCTTCCGCAATTCCCCTAGCGGAATGGCACCAGAGGACAGAAACAAGATTGTCAGCGTGACAGGAGTAAGGTCAGACTAGTTAATAAAACTTTGCAGCTTTTCGCCCCAGTATACGAAGAAGGGGCAGCGATAGCTCTTATTGCACGCAGTAACACGCTTTCATGCAAATCCACCCTTCACCTACTTGATCACACACTGCACAGCCTTGTGGTCACTTATGTATGAAGAAGAAACCAAACCATACGAGAGTCAACCTCCCTGCCCAAGACTGAATTGAGACTGGAACCGTTACCAAGCGGTGGGTCGCTTGGCATCCGATAGAAACTACACGCAGGGTTCTACAGCGAGGAATGTGTAGCGGCGTCTCCCGCGCCAACTGTAGAAGACACTGTCGACCGGCAAGAGCCAAGTGTGCACTTTACCCAATGTCGCGGTGCACGCGCGAGCGCACGTGAAACCGAGTTTTCTGCTCGGCACAATGCCGACGCCGTGATCGCGGCCTGGAAGTCTCTGCAACATTCGCCGCAGTAAAGGCTCGTTCGCACGCTTGCAACCGAGTTCTTGCGATCTTTCGCTACGAGGAAACGCGCTGGCATGCTGGCGCCACCTACGGGGTGATCCCAGTACTGCGTTGCTTACAATTTTGTCAGGAGTTTTTCAAGCCAAGAAAGAATGATGCGTAAAGAAAAGAAAGGAAATGCGCGGGAACACCTTGCGTTTCACAGCTTACCCGATAGGTGGTGTCGGAGCATTCTTTCGTTGTAAAAGATCCCAAGAGGTTTTAAGTTGCTCAATCATAAGCGGGATGTGTGAACCGACTTTAAAACTCCCTGCAGAAAGCACACCCCCACGACACATTTTTATGAAGTGGCCGACGTTTCTTTTGTGCTGTGATGCGTGCAGGTGCAGCAGCAGATGGCCAGCCTCCAAATGGGCCCCGGGGCGACCTGGGGCACTCCCGGTGCGAATCGCCCGGGACCCTTTGGGGCGCAGATGCCCAGTCCCGGTGCGGCGCCGTGGGGCCTGGCTGGGCCCGCCCAGCCCCTGCAAGGACACACACTGTCCACCAACCTGTGGCAGTGAGGCTGGTGAGTTTTTTACAGCGGAGCTGTTAAGAACTAGTTTTCCCAGGATCGTGTCCTTCGCAAAGAAATGTCGACACAACTCTGGACAGCTACCGCCATCTATGAGCAACGGCAGCAACCCACTTGCCGGCCTTGCTCAAAGATGGCGGCAACCTTTCCAGCCTTTCCACTCTCGTTTTGATCCAGAGTGGAAAGGCTGAATTTCTCTAGAAGTCGTCCTGAAAGTCGTCCTGAAAGTCGTCCTGAAAGTCGTCCTGGAAGTCGTCCTGGAAGTCGTCCTGGAAGTCGTCCTCGAGGTCGTCCTCGAGGTCGTCCTCGAGGTCGTCCTCGAGGTCGTTTCCGAGGTCGTCCCCGAGGTCGTCCTCGAAGTTGTCCTTCAGGTCGTCCTAGGCGTCGTCCTCGAAGTTGTCCTTCAGGTCGTCCTAGACGTCGTCCTCGAAGTTGTCCTTCAGGTCGTCCTAGACGTCGTCCTTGAGGTCGTCTGAGAGGTTGTCCTCGAGGTCGTCCTAGACGTTGTTTTCGAAATCGTCCTTGAGGTCGTTTAGATGTTGTTTTTGAGGTTGTCTAGATGTTGTCCCCGAGGTCGTCCTAGGCGTCGTCCTTGAGGTCGCCCAAAAAGTCATCCTTGAGGTTGTCTGACCATAGTACAGCTTCATTGGTCTTCCTCCTTCACCAGAGTGGAAAGGCTGAAAGTTTTTTTTTGGTTTTGACTAGCTCTGATGTGACTCGGCACCCAGTTTTTCTGCTGCGTCGTCAAAGCTAGAGCTATGAAAATAAGCTGTGCTTTAAAGGGTAGCTCCGACATCAATTTGAATGTTTCCAACTATACATAGGTTTCTGAAAGAGCGCAAGAAACCAAGCAGCAAGAGAATTTACCCTCAAAATAATTTTTAATCCTAGAAATAAGATGTAGCCAAAACTAACCTGCAACTTTACCGGTTAGCCATCTTGTTTCGACGTCGGATGTTGTATAAACATGAGCATGTGGGCAGCTCGAGCCTGTTCCGCCTAGTGTAGGAAGCGGTCGGAACGCTGTCACGACCGTCCGTGGGATGCAGTGGACCATGACTCATCAAGCTCTTCTTGGCAAAGTAATGACCAGCAAATGTTTTTTTAAAGATTTTCAGCACGAGATTTCAAGCAATTCGCCGTTCGCATTCGATCTACTAGCACCGCCTCCGAAAGGACCTTATGGGAGGGGCACATTCGTGTTCTGCCCACATTTGGTCCCAGATGCCGCCTTGAAGCAGAATAGCATGGAAGGTTTCATTTGCCAGCACGGTGCAAACTGTTTTCTACCACGGTGCAAACGCCGGGAGCTGGCATTGGCATCCAGTTCTGTCGGAGGGACTTCTCGGTCATAAACCATTAAGGTGTCACTCTGCTACATTTTTTCGTGATGTTATTGCACCCCCACATTCAATCATCGATTTCTCCCTGCCTCCATCGCGTGCCACAAACAGCCTAGACCAGATGGAATTCGCAAAACCAAAGACGCTTACCATCGCTACAACGTACACCATGGAGTAGGGAGCGCCGTCCGCTCTGAGATACAACATTTGATGTCACGAGTGTCCCTGCTCATTGTTGGCTGTAGAGCAGCAGCAAGGGATTTGGAGGTGTATGTGTGAGCTTCGAAAATAATTTTCTTGAAAGAAAATGAATATTTTAATTAAATATTTCGTAGACAAACTTACCAGTGGACAAACTTACCAGTGGATAACTTACCAGTGGACGTCTAGGGTGACCTCAAGGACGACTTCTAGGACGACGCCTAGGACGACCCCTCGGACGACGTCAAAAACGACCTCAAGGACGACTTCTAGGACAACGTCTACAGGACGACCTCGAGGACGATGCTTAAAGATAACAAGGGATCAGGAACTCACTATCTAATGATGCCAAGGAAGGCTGACTCGCGCTAGTTGCCCCCTCTTTTTTTTTTTTTTTTTTTGTTTATTCATACTTGCTGCGACCAATGGGGAATTTTCTGTCAACATCCGCAGACACATTTTTTCCCAGATCCTAGCGTACAACAGGTTCGCTGTAAAATCAATGTTTTGGTTGAATATGATCCACAATATCCGTAAATGACAATCGCACGTTTCTATTTTGAGCCTGGTGGCTGTATTTTTCGCTTTAAACGGCCCACTCTGCCAAGCGCTCGGAGAACAGCCAGAGGAGACCACGTGACATCCAACACAATCGTGACGTAGTTCGTCTCGGGATGAGCAAAGTTAAGGCGAGGCTGATGTCGAGAAAATGGCCTAGTCGATCCAGCCACCGAAGCTGCTGCTTTTGCACAAATTTTGAGTGAGGGGTAATCTTTTATAATCTTGTAGGGGGACAATAGCTACTTCTGGAACACACAAAAGGGATTCTTTGGAAGACGGGAATTCCTCCTTCCCCTCTTCTCTCGTCGTGGCTGGAGGCGAGACTAGCATCGTCACTACCTGTCAAGGTTCCTAGACGGGCATTACATACGAGGCGTTAGCAACATCCACCAGGTGCTCTTTGCTAACCGTTTAATTTGTTTTAAAACTCCTTTTCGTGACTTTTTTACAATACATTGGTGTGTTCGACATGATACTGCTCCTCTGAACACATATAGATCATAAAATAAGCGCCGAAATTTCGTTGTAGTACCCCTTTAAAATGACTTCAGCCACTAGTGCGTAGACTCAATGTTGCCAGTTGTTGCCAGATCTTGCCGACGTGCCCGGTTGAAAACCGGGCCGATACTACGAATACTGCAAAACCTTTGCTCTGTTGAAATGCAGTCCCAGGGACACCTCATAAATAGTGCCAGCTTGTTCTCTTGCAAGAGATCACAAGAACTCGGTCGTGAGCAAATGCAAGTCGGCGAACGGGCCTTTGGACTCTGCGTTTTTGTCGTTCACAATGTTTGGTGCACGACTGCAAAGAGGGGCTCGCTCGCAGGTGTCCGGTAGGACGAAAAATTGGCATTGGAACCCCCTCTTGTTGGCTGCAAGCCCCCGCCAAGCAGCAGCGGTGAAAGACGGGGACTTTCTGCATCACCCACTTCACGCCGGTATCGCTAGAAGTGCTGCGCCTGTGCCACCCATGCCCCTTCGACACAGAGGGGGTCCTCATAAAAAGAAAAAAAAAAAAAAAAATGGTATCAGGAACGTGTGCATGTGTTTGCGTACTTTTCACGCTCATAAATTATTATTTATCTAGAGGTTTCTTACCAAAGTGGGGAGCAGACCAGAGTGTGCTCGGTAATGTCAGTTCCCACCTTTTTCTTTGTTTAGTTGTTGCATCCTTTTTTTTTTGTTGTTGGAATCTATAGATAGGATGTTTGAAGCTATAGCACCGAATTGCGTTTTCGCTGGCATTGCTTGTAGCGACGAAAGACTTCGCGTTGACGACATACGCCGTTCGTGCAATGAATGGAAGCCAGCGTTTGTTGTTAGACATACTAATTTTTAATTTCTTTAGTTTTTTTCACGTTTTGCTCTGGAACTAGCCGTTGCACCACTACATTGTATACAGCTCGCTACAAGTTTTTTTATACGGTCGTAATTTTGCGGCGGAATGTGACCCCTGCACGGACATTCCACTTGTTTTTCTTGTCTCGTTTTTTTCCTCGTCCAAAAAAGAGCCGTTGGTTTGTCTTTTTTGTCGGCCACGAGTTACACATGTACATAGGCGGAGAAGAAGCAAGCAGTGCACTATATTTGTAAACTTGGGTTGACTTGTTTCACAACACTTTTAAAAACAAGGACAATAAAAAATGAAAACGTCGCATATGCAGCTGTGATTTTTTTCTTTGCTGGTTCTCACTTTTCCACAAAAGAACTGCAAGCCGTTTGTGTGAGATGTGGCAGTTTTGCCGATCTTTGGGGAACTTGAGAGTTGCTTCAATGACGAGAGCTCGAGGAGTAATCGTGCTCCCTCCAGGGAGCAGGAGAGTCCAACACGTGCAGAAGCGCACGCCAGTCACTCAGCGGATCCGGAAGGTCTTGAGGTCACCTCCTCCGCTTGCTGTGACCCCCCACCAGGGGGCTTGCAGCCTTCGGCTGGTCGAGCCGCGAGGCACGTTTCCGCTTGGGTGAACTCTCCGGCTCTTCTTTCACCCTTGCGGTGCCGCCCTTCGCCGGAGTGGACGCTCCCTCCTCGTTCCGTGGCGCTCTCCCCTCAGACTTGCGTCCACTCTCCTTCAACTTCGCGGAGCTTTCATTCCGCTTGCCGGCGTCTGCTTTGGAGCCGCCTCCGCTGCCCGACTTCGAATCCGCCTTCCCGTCTCCCTTCGACTCCCCCCTACCCTCCCCCTTCGTCCTTTTTTCGGAGTCCGTCCTCTTCGATTGCTTGGCGTCATCCTGCTTCGCGTCGGACCGTGAGTCCGTCGCTTTTTTTGGCGCGTCCCCCTTTGCCTTTGATCCCTCGGACTTTGACTTGCTGGTAGCGGTGGGAGTAGCCCCTCCTGCATCAGACTTCCGGTTCGAGCTCTCACTCTTCACTTTCCCATGCGCGTGCTCTGGCTTCACCTTGCCACCGGGTGAAGGCGCCGGACTTGAGGTTGCGCTCTCGGACCGCCGGAGCGAGTCCGACTTGGCCTTGCCTCCCGTCCGCGCTGCCTCCACCTCGTTGCGCCGGACCTTCCCTCCCGCGCTCGGAACAGGCGAGAACTTTGCCGCGTTCCAGTCGCCCTTGCCGGTCTTCCCGCCTGTGGCCTCGGGTCGTCTGCTTGCAGAGGCCGGCTTCTCTTCGTCGGCGGCCGTGCGGGATTGCTTGGCGGCCGGAGATGCCTTGGGGGCGGGGGAGGACGCTCGCTTCGTCGGCTCGCTGTCGTTGAGCTGTGCCGCATTCTTGCCACGTCGCTTGGAGAGGAGGTCAGCAAAGTCCTTGTCCGGCAGGACGAACTCGTTTTCCGGGTTAGGAAACGGCAGGATCTCGGACTCATGCTGGAGAGTAAAAAGGTGCGTCGGTCAGAGGAGGAGTGAGGCAACTACACCGGCTCGAATCCGTGCAATTTGGGATGACTCGCCACATCGGGTAAGTTCACCCTGCTGTATTCCCACCTCCTTTACATAGCAGTTTAAGTCGTAAGCCAACGCAGGGCAGAGGGCAGCGAGCATGTATGCTCTGCCGTGCTGATTTTGTCAGTGGCAATTGACCAATACGGAGCGCAAGTTCGTCTGCTTCTTCTGGAGGGGTTTTGGTGATGTCGGAATGCAGAGCTTGGACTGGAAGGATAGTAGGTAGATTTCAAGGCAGCTTGCTTTGAGATCTAACCACTACCCTTCAATCGGATATCAGCGTTACGACGTCACAACTTCAACAAAAGAAACGGACGAACTTGCACTCTGCATCGCTAAATTACCTAAACCTCAAGTAGAATGCTGGGAATGTAGGTCTATCTGCCGTAGGCACTCGCCTCCCCCCTGTATAAGGTTCAAAGTAAATAACCAAAATAAGGCATTGACGAACGCATTTGCAAGATACCATTTGTTTTAGGCTTTCACTTTAGAAGAGTTGCTGCTGCAGACGCCAGCACGTGCGGCGCATGGACCTAGATTCCCTGCACCCTCCCCAACGCTTGGGTGGGTAATTTAGCAATAAGGCTATAGCAACCATACCTCGGCAAACCTCACTCATGAGGGCCCTCACTCACCCTCATCTTCACAGGTGAGGTGGGGGCGAGTGAGTTTCTGAACCAGGAATATTCATGAGTGTGAGGGCTGTGAGGACCGCGAGTGTGTGAGGGCCATGAGTGTGTGAGGGGAGTGAGGACGGTGAGTGGGCGTGAGGGCCATGAGTGCATGAGGGCGGCGAGAGTGTGATCGGCATGAGGGCCGTGAGGGTGGTGAGGGGCGTGAGGGCGGTGAGTGTGTGAGGCCCTTCTCAGATGGAGCAACTTTCTGAGCAATTTCAATGTTGATGGCGGGTTGTTCCCTAGCTTTCCTCAGATCGACATGAATTGCTGAGATCCGGTCCGGCTCAAAACAAGCGAGCAACTCGGAGCAATTCGAAGACGCTTTAGAAGCAGGTGCATCCAATCACAGACGCAATATTTTCACGTGATACGTCATGTCAGTGATGATAACAACAAAGTACTTGGTTCGGGTTTGAAACTGATCGTTTTTGGAAATAAACTGTTTCAGAGAGATGCATTAGTATTCCCAACGAGATTTAAATGCTTAAAAACATGTTCATAGCGTGTAATTGTGTGTCTACATAGTGCAAAAAAAATAAAATTTCATGATGATGATGGCAAATTGCAGCAATTGGTTGCTGCGTGCGAACACGGGCGGCCCATGTTGCTGGTGTTGCAACGTCAAGTTTTTGATCGAAATTGCCCCATGTGAAGCGGGCCTGAGTGGCGTGAGCGCCATGAAGGCGTTGAGTGCTTGAGGGCGGTGGGTGCGTGAGGGCGGTGGGTGTGTGAGGGCGGTGGGTGCGTAAGGGCGGTGAGTGGCGTGAGGGTTATGAGTGCGTGAGGGCGGTGAGTGCGTGAGGGGCGTGAGAGCCATGAGTGAGTGAGGGGCGTGAGGGCGGTGAGTGGCGTGAGGGCCATGAGTGCGTGAGGGCTGTGAGGGTGAGTGAAGAGCTGAAGGTGAGTGACTGTGAGGATGAGGGTGAGTGAGGGGCAGAAGGTGAGTGTAACTGTGAGGGTGAGGGAGGGGCTTAGGTGAGTGTGGCTGCAAGGGTGAGTGAGGGCGACCTAAAATGCCGACCTCTGATAGTGACACATTGTTGCGTTCTCAGCTTTGTGAGAGCTGTATGAAAATCAATGCATGAATTTGCAACGTCGAAAAAAAACTGCAACAGGAGGCACTCCCATTCCTCTGCTGGTCGGAAAATGCACATATTTCACTACATCGCCCTTTCTAGCAAGCACATGCTAGCATTGTGTTGCACATGTTTCAAGAAGTTGTATGGTCTTGTACACTCCAGGGTGAATCCACACGAACATTGACTGACGTACAAAATCCGAGTATTGCACATTCCCGATACTCCGCAAGGACGCAAGAGAGTAGTGACCATATCATATTCCCAACGAGCATCTAAAATAGTGATTTTAAACAAGGAATGAACAAGAAAGGGACAAAGCACAGCCGAGGACGCATCTTGAGCCCTTGGTAACTCGTGTTGTAGTTACATTTTAAGCTCTCTTACCCACGTATGGTTTTGACCGTGTAAAACCTATGTCTCTAACTGCGGATAAGTCACCAGAATGACGAACCAACAACACTTGCTGAGCAACGGAGAGTCAGGCTCACCAGAGCAGCCATGTCGTACATGGTGTCGAGGTGTTCCCATATCGTCTGCGAGGAAATCTCTTTGTTAATCGAGGCGCTGAACTTTTGGTGGATGCAAGCCATTTGGAAATAGCGGTTGACGCCTGCAAAATCCAACACACAACCGTGATCAACACTGGCGCGTGCAGTCACTTGCTCGAGCGCTCGTGCCCGTCACCGAGGCGGCAACTAAGAAACCTTCGCATGGCGGTAACTCCCAAGTTCGTTCACAAGCGAACAAGTTATGAGAAGAGCACGAAGAAAGTCAAGTTCTCGGCGGATAACGACATGTAGGGTACTGGAACCAAGAGATGATCTTTGTGCCACGCATTAACCGAACTGCGGGGCGTACGCAGTTCTTGAACCGGCAAGAAAGTTTTGCGGCGTTAGGTGAAGAAAGTGGGACGCGAACACGAAGCAGCTCAAACTTACCTACTGGCTTGTGCCCTTTCATGGCGTGAAATAACTGTACTTCTGTATCGGCATTCCAGTCCAAATTTTCGGGATTTCTCTCCGAGAGAGTCTCCATGACAAACTCAACCAACTACCATGCATTGCCGGTTTGTTGCGGAGTGTGGCCGGTGCGGCGGCAAATTTCTTCAGAGGTTTGAGTTGGTGTCGTATCAAACATTGTTCTTTCAAATAAACTTAACGTAAAACATAATTATAACTTATTTTAAGTAATCATGTATTATTACTTCTACGCATCAGAAAAACATCGTTTATTTGGTGAGCTATAAATTTCAATACTGTGGCCGGCCCTTTTTTTTTTTTTTTTTTCTCTGACTGGCTTGGTGACTGGCTTGGTGACTGGCTATTTTGTCGACTCTTCGAAGAGTTCGAAGATATTTGTAGGGCGACTTCGTAGCCGTTGGACGGAAACTTTTTTTTAGTTAGTTTCCGGTCTATAGAGCATGCTGTTTTGCTGTCTAATTTTCGAACCAGTTTGCTGTCCAGGTTCTGCGTTCTGCCGTAGGCGCCCACCGCAGTTTTGTCCGTTTTGTCACTTTCATTCTATCGTTAGTTCTATAAGGCTTCAAGCTTTAAAAAGCCGCCGTCAAACGCAACATGTGCGCCTTGTTATCGCGGAAACCGTCGACATGAAGTAATTTTCTACGAACCATTGATTGGGGTGTGCTGCTTTGAGCATTCAACAACAAAAAAAAGACCCCGGACGCTTTGGCAGCACAGGGTATGAATGAGTTCGTTTTTTCGCCTTAGCATCCATACGTTCCGTCATCAGGTAACTTGAACTGGCGATGAAGTAAACATCTAACGCCTTTTGCTTCATTAGCTGTTGATTTTACAGCCTGTTAAAGTCACAATGATTTTATTAAAAATCTATTTTCAATGGCTGTCATGGGTTCTCCGGCGTGACTGTTCAAACATGTCTCCAAACAGTTTTTCTTTCGGTAGGTGGTTGACAGCCTTTGCATCATGCCGTGGACGACACAGGCTGCCACTGTCCAGTACGAAGAAGATATATGGATCGAAGAAGAGGACAACACTCCGGTGGTGCAGTGTTCATACGATGCGGACCAACGAGGACAGAACCGCGAAAGGTAGGATGGCGCACTGCTTCTCTGACCGGGTTCATACTGTGGTTCACACAGACGCGACGCAAACCGTCTGAATGGCTGAACCGCACCGTCTGCCGGCCTTTTGTCTACATACCGTAGTTGTGTGAATGGGAGAACCGGCACAAGACAAAGAAACACGTGCGACCAAAAACTGAAGCAGGAAAAATGCGATTAAAGGTTGCACCGGAGGTTCAATCTTGTATTTCACTGCGAGGAGTGGCGGGCACCCTCCAGGAATTTACGGCGAACTTTTGCAAAAATGCTCCAAAAAGCAGGATACGTCAATTACAATAAGGACACCAACTTGACATGAAGTGCTAAAAGTTGAGGGAAGGGTTGTGATGTTTTCTTTGGAAAGAAATTTATGAACCATGGTCTGTCTTTGGTGCTTTGATGGCCAGAGCATGGTTCAGCTTGCTTCGGTCCAGCGTCGTCAAATGCTGTTGCTAAGAGGCTTGCCAAACATGATCCTGCATGTGTCTTCTGAATAAAAACAATTTGCTGTACCACCATTAAATGAAATCCAGTGTGCCAATAATATGGATCCGACGAATGTTGACTACAACAGTGCTGTGGAACCAGCCAGGTGCATAGACCTCATTTTACCTATAATTGTACGGCTAAATCCACCCTTTTCAAAATAACTGCTTCCCCCCATTTCTGTATATTTAATTAGATCGCTCTCGCGTGCGTGTCCCTTTTTATATATATTTTGGATGCTACAACAAAATTTCGGCGCTTATTTTTTGGCCCATACGTGTTCAAAGGAGCAGTGTTACATCAGACATACCAATATCTTGTTAAAAAAAAAGAAACGAAAAGGAATTTTTATATTAAACAATTAGCAGAGTGCACCTGGTGGATGTCACTAAAGCCTCGTTTGTAATGCCCCTCTAGGAACCTTGACAGGTAGTGACGATAACTGTCTCGCCTAGAACTATATATGCTGTGAACCTGACGTCATCCCGACAGCTCTACAGCCAGCACAAGAGAAGAGGGGAGGGAGGAACTCTCCACTAAACCGGACTCTCTTGTGTGTCCCAGACATCGCTATTCTCCCTCTACAGGATTATAGAAGATTAATCCGTTGCTCAAAATTCACACGAAAGCAACTTTGCGATTAATTACGGTGGCCCGATCGCTGGCGTGCTTTGACCACTTCGATGGCTTGAACGGCTAGGGCGTCCTGACGACATCAGCCTCGCCGCAGCTTTGCTCGTCCCAAGACAGACTACATCACGATTGTGCCAGATGTGACGTGCTCTCCGCTGACTGCTCTCTGAGCGCTTGCCTGAGTGGGCCGTTTATAACGAATAATACAGCCATTAAGCTCAAAATGCAAACATGTTATTGTCATTTACGGATATTGTGGATCATATTCAGCCTCTTTCTGAGCACGATGGGTATATTTCGTTGAAGTGTCCCTTCAATATTGTATGCGACTCCCACCACGGCTCTCAACAAAGAACTGCAGTCTTCCTAAAAAAAAAGAAAGAAATGTACATAAAAATTAAGAGTATTGTGTTTCTTTCCCTTCCTCTCTTTGCACTGGTGGTCAAGAGGAGGATAAATAAGGAGTGTTTGCACAAACCTTGGGCTCTACGACAATGAGAACAAAATTGACCTTTGGAGGGCTAAACTTAGGTCAACAGAACCCGCAAGACCTAGCCTCGTTTCTCGAGGTTCCGTGAACCATGCGCATCCACCGACTTCTTGCTTTTTAAAAAACCACATGCTTTCGGTGCAGAGCAATTCTGAGAACGGTTGTTTTGTCTCGTCGCGGATTGTAGGACTTTTGGCCGGGGAAGGTCGAGGCCCGGCTGGGACAACCAGCCCAGGCGCTCTGACCAAAGCAGCAACTGGAGGGACAGTGCGGGGATTGGGCGGGGAAGGTCAAGGCAGTCATCCGGCGGTGGCGGCGGTGGTGGCGGCGATGACTCTGACGTTATGGTGGTGCCTGCCAAGGACGTTGGCAAGATCATCGGTGAGTTGTTGGAGAGTCTTCGCTCGCTGCTGAATGTGTTTAAGCGCCAGGCTTCGTGAGAAACGCGATATGCGATGCTCGATTGACACGTGGGTTCGGCGTGACGTAACCTCGCTTGACTGTATGTGACATCACGACGTCAAAAAAGTCGTGCGACGCCACACACATGCGCGTCATGTGCCCAGCTCATTCGTAGCACATTCTATGCATCTCATTGGACACTATACCCGTTTTCACCTCAAGAAAAAAGTAAGTTTTGCGCATTGTTCATACGCTGCGCGAAGTAGTTCTTACGAGATTTGCTTATCGGAGGAATAAGCGGTGGTTTTGACGGTTGGAACGTGTGCGTCTTGATAAGATAGCATATATTTAATCTAAAATTTACCTACCATATATCCTAATTATCTACGTAAAGAGGTAAATTGGTAATGCTCCGCGAGGAGCCGGACTTGTTTTACTGCGGTTCTTCAGGTGAAAACGGGTATAGTCTCGTAGATAGTTTGAACTGCTACAGCTCGGTTATGCCTGAAGCCCCTCGATGTGTTTGCATTTGCGAGTGGCGTCGAACGCGCCTCAGAAGTAAATGGTGGAGCACTTGCTCGTGGCAAGTGTCTTGCAAATATGGCTGACAATGGTCAGCCATATTTGCAAGAAACGCCGAGCGTGAATTTGATCGAGGGGGTTTAGGTTCTCCATGCTCTCTTCCTGCGCTGTTAGATGTCTTGCGTCAACATTAAGCATACTCTGAAAGGTTTTCAGGGAGGGAGGGGTGGACTTGGTGAACATTATATAGTTATACTTTGGACATTTCGTGAGGAATTTCCAAAGCATGCATGTTTTGAAGCACAGGTCTTTCTCGCCGTCGAGAAAGTACGGGGCGTACCGTTTTGGGAGAGTTCGCCAAACCTCGATGGTGGCAGCCCATCCCCGGATGCACTGTGCGAGAAAAAAGACGTGGGACTTTGTTTCCAAAGTTGCACGGCCGGAGCTATCCAGGACTGTGGAACCAGAGACTAAGGTTCTTGCAGTAGTATGCTGCTCCTACATCTTGTTCTGCCACCGTGTCCCAGTGTCTCATGTTTGGTGTGCTTCAACGAAACACTGATGTATATTCGTAGTATGATCTTCTGGTTGAAACATGTAATAGAGGTAGACAAAATTCCTTGCCTCGCAAACAAGTTAACGGTCCTTTCGTTTTGGCACCATATGTGTTGCATCTTTCCACTGCCAAGTTCTTAAAGGGGCACTCAAGTGGTTTTTGAGTTCGTGTTTTGATGATGACAGCTGAATTTAGACGCCCTAAGTATCCCTAAAAACCAAAAAGTATAGTCATACGGTGATTATTTCTTTAATAAAAATGTAATTGAAGGCCGCCAAACCTAGGATCCATCCGAAAACGAAACCACTCTCATTGGTCGTCGCACGCTTATCAAAAAGATCTCGGGCCAATGGCGTTGGACGACGTTCCGTCGCGCAGTGATCCCGAGGTAGCCGCATCGGCCGAACCTCTTTGTCATTCGAGCTTCGATCATGGCGGAGTTCTCTACGCTCGAGGACCTGACGCCGTTAGAGGTTGAAGTTCTTCGGCGGACAGCCGACCCGGGGATGATTTCCTATGACGCCACTCCGACGTGCGATGTGGACGATAGCAGCGCTTCGGAGTCATGTTCGGGTTCCGAGGACGACGAAACGCAGACCTTTTCGGGCGTTCTTCGATTTGCGGTTGGGGCAAGTCGTAACCAAACCAACGTTTGACATCGCAGCGCTACCTCTGGTACGTGATGTCAAACGATGTCGCCACGTTGACTTTCGCCTCGGGAGAACGGGGGGAAGGCTGGTTCAGACATGTGCAACGAGCGCGTACCTACCACTGCGTCCGTTGCAACCGGAGCGACCGGAACGACCGCACTGCGCCGCGCGTACACACACCTGTAACCACTACAACAAGCGCAGCGGGTCGTCAGCACGGCGACCGCTTCTGTACGCCGCCGTCAGCAGTGTCAGCGGCCCCTCTAAAAAAGGAGACGCACTGCTACTCAATGCCGTAACAGAATATAGACAGACAGTTTTCTAGTCTAAAGCTTTATTATTTTTTCTTGATAGGCTTGCAAAGTACAGCGAATGAAAAAAATAAAATTAAAAAATGCAGCGCCGTCTTGGACGATCACGACTCTAATACACGACATTGCAATAGTACAAATATCGCCACACGCCTTTTCTACGATTATAAAAGACAATGTAATCTTAGCAGCGATATAGCATCGTGATCAGATAGACGTTGCGAGCGTTCAGGATTGCTAACACTAATCACTTTTCTCCGGTGATGAAAACGCGTGAAAATTCGTATCCTTTATACGGTACGCGCCAGTAATACCTTGAACTTGAGCACACGCATGAAATGCGCCAAATAAGAAATCCGGGCGATGTTCGAGGACACAAATGCTTAGAAAGCACCACTGTAGTCGAAGTAAACAAACACGACGGCACGGGCGTTTCTGCTATCTTGAGAGTGCCGCCACGACATCGCCGCACGAGTAGGTGGATCTTCCCTTCTAGTACGTGCTGGGTTATCATAGCGAAACACGACGAACATTCACAGTCAAGGATACCGCTTTTACGCGGAACGATGAGCTTTCACCAGGCCGTCCATTCCGACGATCACCACCGACGCCACGTTTGCGGATAGAAGGGGCCGGCCGGCCCGCGACCGGCACGAACGGCCTGCAACGCGCGGAGATACGTGCGCTTCGGCGCATCCCTGGGGAACGGGAAATTCACCCCGCGCGGAGGAAGGCAAGGAGAAAACGTAGTCCGTTGTTTGTGAAACGATAATTGCGCTATCGCGTATTCTAAACTAGAAATATTTTACGTCTTCTGAAATGATCATGCACAACATATTTAAGTGAACTGAAAATTGTTTTTTTAGCGAAACTTTAAGAAGACCGCCAAAATTTTCAAACATACGATAATTTCATTGGTCCTCGCAAGTACAGAAAAGAGTCCGCACGTATTTTATTCCTGCGTGATTAATAGGCGTTTCTGCCTTCTAAAACTGAAGATACTCATTCACTGACACTTCCTTAACACCATCGCAGCAAAAAGTAGCTTCTCCAAAAACCGCTTGAGTGTCCCTTTAAGTTGAGTTCTGGTTTTGTACGTTTCTGCTAACGTTTTTGCAAAAAATGGCACTTGAAAAAAAAAAAAAAAAAAAAAGATTTGCTTGAAAAAAAAACAAATTTAGGTTGTCTTTAGTGTTACTTGAAAGGGAATGCGAAAAAAAACTATTGTATCCATGCATGAAGGTAATTAAAGCGGGATATTTGCAATCTTATTAAAGTTGGCGTGGAGTTTCTAAGCACTTCCCTTTGTTGAAAGTTGAAAAGCCACATTCTGTACTTTTTTGTCGTTATTTTTGGTGCAGGAAGAAAGGAATCGTCAGTCCTGGTGATTCGACGTATCCAGACTGCAGGGTTACTTATGGAAGCACGACTTCACGAATTAGTCAAACGTTTAGTCGCAACACTTTTTGTCCTAAAGGCTGATGTGCACAATATTTTCTAGCAGGGCTGAAGGTGTTAACTCTTCCTCTCAATTTGCACTCAGCAAACAGAGGGAAGCCGCCTTTGTTTCAAAATACAGAGAACATAATCCATAATGGACGTGAGAGCAACATTAGGGGGACTCCTTTAAGGAAATACTGGTCTTGGAACTTCCTTATTTTTTGGCCAAGCCCAATGAAACAGCACTGGCTTGTTCAGATGTTTGTGCTAATTGCAAATATATATATATATATATTTTTTTTTTAATTAGTAGGGAAGTTCTCAGGATAATTATAATTAACCAGCATTTGTTTCTAGAAACAATAGTGGAAAACCATTTTTAAAAAAGAATGCTTTAACTTATGGTCAGGCACTACAAATTATGAAGAATACTATGTTGGACACACCTTTTACCGCTCATTCACACTGGAAGCGGATCCGCGTTCGCAAAGCGGTTGCGAACGCGGTTGTATAAAGATTTAGTACAATTGCACGCGCACTCAATGTCATCAAGTGCGCGTGACATTGTACTAGATCTTTATACAACCGTGTTCGCAACCGCTTTGCGAACAGAGATCCGCTTCCAGTGTGAATGAGCGGTTAGATTGAACCATTTGCGACTTTACAACGGATTGAGGCTCAGTGCTCACTGTGTGGCTACCAAGCAATAAAAGAGTGGTTCAGTTAAATATTTTCCTACATTTATATTGAAAAATCAGCTTCTAACATTGTATGCTTTGCACATTTAACTGCATGTTCCTAAGAAAGAAAAAAAGAAAGATTTGTAAATACTTTAAAATTTGTGTTTTGAGAAAGTGATGTCCTGACATCGGCCCCAGTGCTATTTCAGTCCACATAGATGTTATAAAGTTATACTTTGACCCAAATATTAATTTTACAATTAAGTAACTTGGCAGAAAAAAATATAGCTGTAGATTTCGAAATTGTCATTTTCCCCCAAAACTGTGCTTTTAGGGATTTTTCGACTCCAAAGATACATGACTACCTTTAAGAGTCTTTCAATTTCATTGACTTGCCCTGCAGCTTCGGCAAAAGTGTTGGGTTCATTCTTCGGAAGCATAGCACACTGTGAGAACAACTTCAGGCTGACGGATGAAGGGACTCTCTCAGGCAAGGGTGGCTCCAAGATCCGGGAGCTGCAGGACTCGAGCGGCGCTCGGATCCACATCCTGAGGGACGACGAAGACGACTCCGGGCGTTCGGACGAGGCCAAGATCCGCCTGACGGGCCCTTCGGAAATCCGGCACAAGGCACAGATGCTGATCGAGGAGCTCATCTACCCACCGGGCATTGGATGTAACGTTCTCGTAGCTCTTTTTCTCTTTCGCCCGCACGAGTGCTGCCTCCCGTTTAGAATGTTTTTTCGGTGCGTCCGTCACGACGTAGGGTGTTGTAAGCAAAAGGTACAGAGACTTGTGCGTGGAGAAAACCGAGCTTCAGGGGTGATGTGTTTCATCTTTCTCTTCCATATTCGCTTACATGCGTGTATGTTTTGTGTTGTGCTTTGTACTCTTGCAGCTTACCTTTAGAGCAAGGTGTCATAAACCTTCTGGTATGGGCCATTGGCCTCCTGTGACTGCCCGGCTCTCATAAAGAGCCAAGATAAGGAATATGAATATATCGTGTATTGCTGTGTACCAAAGTCTAAAAGTCGATAAGTAGCCGTTCGGAGACGTTGCAATGGGACGAAAGTGTGGCGGAGGAGGATGTTCCGGTTCGAACTAGTGCAGAGGAAGATGTACTTCGAGAGGCAACGATGTTTACTTGCGGGCACTCAAAGTACAGAGTAAGCGAGCACGCGACAATCAATCAGTCGGTCGTATTTATTCGCTCGTGAAACGTAAAGAGCATCGCTTGATGCATTTGAGTCTATAGTCTACTTGGCTAGTTTTGGATCCATTCGAGATGTACGTAATAATGAATGCGGGGGCAACTCGACACCCCCGCTTCCGTTGCAACATGTTGGGCCGTTGGTAACAAAGAATGTGCGTCATGCTAGGCTAGCGTCCGTCGTGCCAAGACACCTTTAACTTGACCATTCAGATAACAGTCTGCATTCCAAGGAACCTGCGCTAGACTGGAGTAGTGCACGATGGGATAACTAAGGAAATGAGGGTAATTTGGGCAAAGATGTCCGGAGGAGATGGAATGGAGCAGCTCCCATACGCCGATTGCCTGTTCTGTGGTCGATGACCGCTTAATAAACGGAGGGTGTGGCCTGTCACGTTCACGCCTCCTGCTTTATGATTTGCTTTTTGAGCTCTTATCAGCTAATGCTGCAATCTCGTCAGTTGCAGAGCGAGAGCGATGTGCTCGGAACTCGCCATGCCCCGTGTTTCTTAAGTTGTTGGCGACGGCGGTCACATTGTTATGGCAGCACTCGCTTTCCGACGGTTCTTGCAGCCCGTTTCTGCAAGAGGGACGGAGAGCCCGGCGAGGAGCAGCCGATGCCGTTCATCGACTGGGCCAAGCTGATTGCGGACAGCGACCAAGAGCGCGAGAGGAAATGGAACTGTGCGTGCCTCCGGTTTCCTAGTACTGTGGCCCCTTTAAAACATTGGTCCCTCTAATTAATAGAGTGAAAAGTTGAGCTTGCTAGTATAAATTCGTTGCGGAAAGCGGTGCAAAAAGGTGCGGAGGACGAGTTGAAAACGGACAAAACCGAGTGCTGTCCGCTGACTGTTGATAGATGGTGCTCAGTGTTGTCGGTTCTTTGCCCTCTTCGTATCTTGCAACGTTTTTCGCCACGGTTCCTTCGAACTGACTGCTACGCCTTGTTTCCCCTATCGGATGCATTGATATCAACAAACAGGCTGTCGTCTGTGGTCCGCTTTTGGACAGTGAAATCGTGAAAGTGATAGGTGCCGTGTGCTGAGTGAGCTTCGTAGGGCGCTTTTCCTTCGGCAAAAGGCACGCCAGAAGTGCCCTAAAAAGTTTCGCAATTTATAAAGCATGGTTACTTTGGTGCTCCCCCACCAGCCGTGGGTGCGCCTCCATCAGTGGATACATGCCACAGTACCTTGCCATGTCATATTGGCACCTAATATGACATTTGGACCAAGTGTATAAATGCAAAAATTTTACCCCGTATAATGAACGCACCCTCCAAATATGTGTCAATTTTTTGGGGGAAAAAGTGTGTTCATTATGCGAGGAAATACGGTAAGCGGCAGTTGTCCCTTTTGTTGCCCTGTATTTCAACTCTTTTAGTCTTTTATTATCGAGGCTCAAAACGGGGGAATGTACTCCATCGCCTCAATGCTGCGTCTGAGCTGGCGCTTTCTTCCAAGTCCAAATGGATGGGAAATGTTGACCTGTGCTTTCCGCAGCGTTACGTATAAACTCAAACTAACTGCCTCTGGGTTTCTTGCAGCTCTCCCACCGATCATCAAGAACTTCTACATAGAGGATCCCGAAGTTGCCGCCATGAGTCCGGAGCAGGTGGCTGCGTTCAGGTACGCTCTCCTCGTGCCACTGCAACAATAAAAATTGCTTCCGTTTGCTCTTCGCTCGGGTTTTCTTTTGGGCACACGTGAAGAGGCAGGTTTGTTTGGTGCAATGTTTTGCAAACTTTAATCGATGGCCCGTCTATTACGACCGCGGCCATGAAAGGCTGGAACTAAAGTGAGGTAGACGAACGAAACACCGATGGATAATATTAGATTAACCGCTGCAATGTCACCCTGTAATTGCATTGGTTGGTGGAAGTTCCCGGTTATTTTTTAAATGTGCACAAAGGGGTCTTCCGATTCCTTCCTTGTCAGGGCTCTTACTTGATCTGCACGCCGCACTGTATCCTAAAATATGCAAATTTACCGTGTGTGTGCTTTGTCTCTAGATAAAAACGCAACAAAAGATTCGTCTGAAGGAGGCGGAGGAGGAAAGAAAAATAAAGCGATCGTTATGTTGAACGGAGGAGCATCCGTAAGGCAGTTGTGGCGGAACTCAATGTGAGGCGTGCAGATTGAGTTACAGGTAGGCTTGCGATAATTAAAACTCGGGCACTTCTTACTTCTGGTTGATTCAAACAAATATAAAAATTTTGGTTGTCCTGTTATGTCTTTAATGTGTCCGTAAGCCGCTTAATTTGAACCGTGTATCTTTGTGTAATTCATTATTTTTGTTCTCGCGGCCTTGTTGAGTGCGTTTCTTTTCGTGCACCGGTGCACTGCAGAGAAGCAACACTCACGGACCTTGCTTCTGCGGACGTTGCTTCTCCTCAGTGCAGCGGTGCTCGATGAGAGGCACACCCAACGGGGCTCGAGTAGAGCATCGTGAGCCACGAAAACAGGCACCACGCGGAAATTTCCATAGCAGCTTGCGCGGACGCCATGACGTGGCAGCATGTCATGGGTCCCCGTCACAGCATCCGTGCAAGTGGCCATGAAAACTGCCGCGCTGTGCCAGTTTTCATTGCTCGTGTGTGTCCTGCTTAATAGTTCACATTAGACAACTTCTTGGCCTGATGAACAAACTTAATTTCGTTTCGAATTGTCATGTGCTGTCTAGCAGTTCACGATTAACAACATTTTTAAGGAATGAATAAACTTGTGTACTACATCTCACAAATGTTTCTTGTGTGGCATACCTGCTTACGATTAGTAGGCCTATGTAGTGGAAATCATCTAATATCTGCTTTGCATGTGTAGCCATTCACATGGCAAATCATAATTTTATCTGGCATCATATTTAGATTAATTTATGATAGTTCAAACAAAATTCGTGGCTTCCTGGAGGTTGAATTATTGAGAGTTTACCATATTCACGAACCATACATAGATGAAATCCCGCTTCCTGCACCTTTGACGCCTCATGTGTCCGTAGAACTGCTAGTCCGGTTTCTGCCGTTCCTGCAGCAGCCTTCTGGTGGGCGATAAATCATTGAAGTGTAGTACTTTGAACAGTTATTAGAGTGAACTCGCCGTGTGCATGTTTGTTTCACATGCAGGCTGAAGAACAACAACATTGTCGTGAACCGACTAGACGAGAAGGAGGGCAGCGCGCCGGTCCCCACCAACCCCGTGGCCACGTTTGAGCAAGCCTTTGCACACTACCGTGAGTTCCTTTCGAGAGTGAAGAAGTTTGCATCACGTGTTAGTACATCTGTTGTCACCTTCGCTCAATTGAAGGCTATCTTTAATGGGCAAATTTCAATTAAAGTGCAAGTCCGATTGTTCCTATAGTCGTAAAAGTGGTTCTGCTTGTTTAAGCATATACAACTGTCGCTGAAACAAAAAAGCCATACTGCTCTTGTATTGGCAAAAATTGTGGGCTATTTCGAAAAGCTACAGTGGGCAGACATACAGATTGTACAAGACGTAAGATCAACCTCTCGTACTGTGGCACCTTTTCGGCGTATTTCGGCGTGTCGTGAAACATAAACATCTGGTCTAATTGGTGTGAAGCTGTGCTGATACTGACCGTCACAGTATAGAAACAGTACTCTACGATTTATCGCATTGACCTCTGTTGTATTTCTGAAGTCCATGACATAAAAGTGACATGCTTTCTTAGTGACAAGCTTTCCTTTCTACTTGTTTGAGTTCAAATCTTTGTTGAGTGCGTTGTGTGCTGTACAGTTTGTTTATGCTTTCATATTTTCTTTTTCCTGCAGCTGAAATTATGAATGAAATCTACAAAAACAAGTTTGAGAAACCTTCTCCCATCCAGGTGAGGCTTTCTGTTTCCCCGATGCATAATGGTCAGAGCTCGTATTCATGGCAAGCCTGCTCGTTTTGTATATGAGCTCCGTTACAAGACGTGCCGATGCAACAAAATTTGCAACTTGGTACAACTTTATTATTCTGTTTGTCGAGATTTGACTGTACATACAGAGTTGAACGAATTCAAGAATTTCTGGTCAGTGCAAGCGAAAACTCGAGAAGTTTCCCAATAATCCGACAAAACAGTAAACACAGAAAAGCTGCGCTAAAGAAAAGGTTTAAAATTTTCAAGAAACTCATCTTGGCTCTGCCTGACTGGTTACACTGTCATCCTGAGTTTGGGCTGCTTTTTACGCTACAGGCCTCGCAAGGGAGCAAGACTGACAAAACTGAAGCAGCTGTTCTCGCTACGCCTGATTGCGCCAGCATTGTCCCTTTACTTTTTCCTGGCTGCAATAAATTAAGATTTTACAAACGCACATGCAATGATAATATCATCTATGGTCGGCGACTGGCTAAGGATTCAATACAAGCTGCACTTTTTGTTGCCTTTGTCAGGCTTTGACTCCACGTGCAGGAAAGTGTTATTTTTTAACCTGTCACCAGCTATTGATCTTTTCTATTGTCTGCATTTAATTATATTTACTTCGTTCATCATTTTAGCTTGTTTTTTTATATTGTTTTGCTGTCATAACTACATTTTTGTTATTTAGTCTATTTTGTATTTTATGTACTCCCTCTCTCCCATGTACCATATTTTCGGGGCTACCTATATAGTCCGTGGACTATACATGTTTAAAAATTGATTTTTTACTCAATGCGGACTATACAAGGATTTATTTATTTTTTCTAGATAGTTCACTGTTTTTTCTATTTATTTGTTTATTGTCACTGTCAGCCCTTTGGGGCTGTTACAGGAGTGCGAGGGTACACATGAAAATAATATACAAGACTTTCTAATGTGCCACATAATAAACAAACGACAGACTTGTGACAAGATGTGAAGGATTTTATGAATAACAGTGTATATTAAGGTTAGTTTATGTATATGATACAAGTTTCGATGTGAGCTAATACAGCCGGCATTTGTCAAGTTGTGCTGTGTATTATAGTTTTTACGTTCAGACTAGGCACTAAACGCGGACTATGCACCAAATGCAGACTATGCATTGGGTGCAGACTATCTAAGCAAAAACTCTTATTTTGACCCCAAATTTGCCCCCATGGACTATGCACCGGTTGCGAACTATAGCCCGCAAAATACGGCAATACCTTCCTCGGAGGGCCCTTGGGGTATTTTGAATAAATAGATAAATAAATAAATAAATCCCCACCCCCTGCCCATTCCAATCTGGACGAGCATAGTATCATTGTACGGTTGTGTATCGCAACTGCATGATGCACGTTAAACACCTTGGGCTAGCAGCGGTACTGCACCGGCAAAATTTCTCGTCTGCAGCGGAGGCACAAGACTCCCAGGCGGCCAACAGACATCCCGACGGCTAAACCCGCGTGCGACGCAATCATTCTTCTTTGGCTGGGAGAATAGGCTCTTGTGCCGACTGCCAACGCCGTGTCCTCCTTTGCAGAGCCAAGCGTGGCCCCTGCTCTTGCAAGGGCATGACCTCATTGGGATCGCCCAGACAGGCACGGGCAAGACCCTGGCCTTCCTGCTTCCCGCCATGATCCACATCGATAGCCAGCCAGTGTGAGTCTCCGCTGCCCTTGTGAGCAGAACTCGACGGCGGAGAGAAATGCTTTGCGGCTCGAAAGTGGGCTTTTTTTTTTCCGCACAAAAACCGCTATACCGTAATATCCCGACATATGGCCCACCTGAAATCAGGCGAAAATAAGGAGTGGGCTAACTTTCAGTGTACAACCAAGAAAAGTTGAAAAAAACACAATTCTTAGATTGTTTTCCTGCCACACTTATTATCGTGGCAAGGGACAATGAAGCAAAGATGACTGTATTTACCAGTCAGCAGTGTCTGCTCATATCCAATGTTGGGAAGTACTCTAAACAGCATGCTAAGTACTTTAACTACATTGTACTTAAAGTAATACTTCAAGTAGGCTTAGAAAGCTTGTACTTTACTTGAAGTACATTCTCTAAGCATGTACTTGTATTTTACTCAGTTTTTTTCTTTTTTTTGTTCTTTCCGAGGAAAGTACATTCCTGACTTCAAAGTACATTCTCCAAAGTTGGTTTTGTTAAATTTGTTTCACAAATTGATGCTTTTTCAACTCCGAAGAAATACAGGGAGGGATATTCTACTCTCACCAGAAACTTGAGCGGACACATTTTGCCTGCTACTTTCCAAGGAAAGTAACGCTGCCAATTTAAAGTACACTCTTCAAATTTGGTCCTGGTAAATTTGTATCACAAAATGATGCTTTGTCAACAAGTAGGAGCTTTGTAAGTTGATTGTGTTGAATAGTTTCTGATTGAAAGTTAAACAACTACTTTGTGGCCACCCGACTTTATCCAATTTTCAGCACCATTTCCGAAAATAACTGCTGCACCCCCGATTATGCCAGGGACAATGCATACCATTAAAAAAAAAAAAATGAAGAAGGGCATTGCACCAGAGTAAGGAATGGCCATCACGAAAAACTGTGCTAAAACGTTTTACTTTATTGCATTTATAGTACTTTACTTCAAGTAGATAACCTCTTCACCCAACACTGCTTATATCCCATCATAGCTTTCTAGCTGCATTTATGCCGAGGTCATCATTGATCCAAACACTATGATTACTAAAAGGGGGCAACCTTTTGGTGTTACAAAAATAAATAGCAAACCAAGCTAAAAGTAAAGAATGGTTTACGGCGTTTTCACGAGCCTTGAGCGCGCATGCACATTCGAAGCATGGCAACAGGCGCATGCTGGAGGCTGAGCCTTCAAAAGAAACTTCTGCCGTTCTTGTCTCGTTAACAGCCATACCGTAAAGTCCTGAAAAACCGCCCAACCACGAGAGATTGCCCATCCTGTTTTTCTGGCTAAATATCTGCAACATAAAATTCCGAAACATTGCGCACCTGCGTGAAGTTTGACGGGAATCGCATTAACCGCACAATTTGCTGTACCAGCACGAATGACAAGCGAGTTCAGAACAAGTTCCCCCATTTTTGTCCGCAATCTGCACGCACAATAGCGGCTTCGTAACACGAAACTTGTTCCCACGTGTATGTTGCACCGTGAAATCCAAATCTGCTTCGTCTGCAATCTGCGTTATCTGTTCCCGTGACATAAAGTTTGTAGTAAATCCCGCGTTTTTGTGCGCAATCTGCACCTGCGATCTCGATTCCATGCGGGTTGGTCCCGCGTGTATATTGCATCGTGAAATATGATTCTGCTGCATTTGCAATCTGTGGTATTTGTTCCCATATCATACGATCTGCGCTTGCGATATCGGTTACCGTGACAGGCAAGTTTGTAGCGGATTCCTTCAAGTTTATTGCATCATAAAACTTTAATCTGCTGTTTCCACAATTTGCGGTATTCGTTCCCGTAAGATGTGACTTCTCAGCGGTCATCCGCGGGTCCTTCACATCGTGAAACGCGAATCTGCTGCGTCCGCAACCTGTGGTATCCTTTCCCGTGACACGACTTTGCAGCAAATTCTTGCGTGTTTATCGCATCACATAAAAAGCGAATTTGCGGTGTCCGCAACCTGCGGTATCAATTCCCGCAACACGTGGTTTGTAGCCGTTGCCAGTGTGCTTATCATTAATTTTTGATAAAGTTTTGCTGTGACATCCCCAAAGATAGCCCACTCCATGTTTTTCGCCATTTATCTCTTTCTTTGGGGTGGGCGTTCTTTCGGAACTTTACAGTAGTTGAGAAATGGTTGCTCGGGGCTTTCCCCAATCTATTTATCTCGTTTTTGCTTGACGGCGACCCAAAATTCGGGAGTGCTCGAGAAGTAGCCAATCGTCCGTGGCACATCCACACAATAGAAAATAATAAAGTGGACGAGTGCGTAATTTTCGTGACCACCGAGCACCGGAAATGGGTCGATTGGAATTGGGTTGCTGTGGGCGCGGCACAGCCTGAGCGACGAGTTCCTCCGTGCTGGTTCTCCTGGTTCGGTTACGACTCCGTTTTTTTTAACAGACTTGCAGTCTTGAGGTGAAAATTGGATTGGGTATTGTCTTAAAACAATCTCGCTGTTCATGCCAAACGTCCCAGGCGTGACGCTCGACCATCGCCGATTCTTTTGAAAAAAATCACAGGGGTTCTTTGTGTTGAATAGTCACTTGCCTAAATATTTTCGTAAACAAAAATATTTTGGCCGCGCTAGTGCTGCTTGAAATTCCCGAAAAGGCGCGAAACTAGGCACAAGTAAAAAAATTGCCAAAAGTAGAGATCTCTAGTTATTAACGCACAATTTTTTCGGTCCGATTCTACTTGCATTATTGCTTGATATGAGGCCAATTTTTAATAATATAGTTGTTTTTTTGTTTGTTTTTAATTGAAGACAAAATAGTGAATTTGTGGAGTTTTCGGGATTTTTTTGTTTAAATTTGGGAGTCTGTATACCCGTACTAGGAGTGTTTTCTGCTTCTATTGTAGATATATGTTTTGTATAAAATAGCTTGCTACCGTTAACAAAAAGGTTTTCGTAATATTAAAGCTTAAAGTTGCGTAAAACGGCATTTTGGTTTAAAATAAACCGCAAATTTCGCAGTGAGGCGGTCTAGCTAAAAATATGCAGGACCGCTCACGCGATAAAGCGCCATACAAAATTGTGCTTTATAAAGTTTAAACAAAGTAATATTTTTTTTAAGCGAGAAAATAATTTTTGAAGTTGAGCCCCAGCGACACTGCGCGGAGTGGTTCCATGCGGCAGCTTCTCCACACAGCACGACGGAATGGACCTTATCTGAGCCGTGGTGCATACTCTGTTGCTAGCTATCGGCTAGGGCCATCTATGTGCTTGTAAATGAACTATTCGTCTTGTTTCGCCCACGCCCTCTATTTTAGGCCACAAGATGTACTTTTCTGCAAATAGAGCTTGTATACGTAGTAACGCTGTAGTTACGTTCCCGTCCAGTTCGAAAACGGTTAAAACAGTAACCTACAAACTCTGGTTAAAAAACTTCACAGATGGCACGGAGAGCTCCCAGCTTTATAACGTAACACTCACCAGGTGCAAGCCACTGCCTGGAAAAAATAGGAATAAAGAACTGTATTTTCTTGCTCCCTACTTTGTGACAACTTATTGCTGCGCAAACTAAGCTGCATGCCCCATTTAGAGCACCAGGACATGTGCCTGGGCTCAGATAAGGTCCATTGTCGTCGTGCTGTGTGGAGAAGCCGCCGCATGGAACCACTCTGCGCAATGTCGCTGGAGCTCAACTTCAAAAAAATAATTTCTCGCTTAAAAAAATATTACTTTGTTTAAATTTTATTAATCACAAGTTGATATTGTCACGGGTGGTGACCAAACAAAAAACAGGAAATAAACAGAAAGAAATAAACGTTTAATGTGGCGAACTTGTGCCAAAAATAAACGAGTACAAAAGATAATAATAGAGCGTCGCGGGCGTCGAAGTCGGCGTGGCAGCAGAGTCGAACGCTGGGGCGAGACTGACTGCGGCTCGCCACGCGGAGCCCCTTATGTACATGCGTGATCTTCGGGAATAATCGGCGTAGAAACTTCGACGCGCAGAACATTCGGGCCTGGAACAAGCAACATGATTCTCGAATTCTCCAGAACACTAAGTTACAGGAATAAACAAAAGACACGTCGCTCCCAGGATTCGAACCCTAGCTTTTCGCGTGGGAGCCAGGCGCGATAACCATTAGGCCACGCGCGCGCTGCCTACTTGGCCAGCGCGCGCGGCATTACTCCCCCCTTTAAAAAGTGCATCGCCCCGATGCAGCACAAAACAAAACAAGGCAAACAAAAAGAACGGTAAAATAAAGAGTCATTTGGAATACGTAAGGTCCACTGTCCTATCGAGCGTAGTACGGCTTCATGCGCACGACGTGGACGACTTCTGGTCGTGGAGGGCGGCGTGATGAAGTCCGTGTTCCATCGGGCATCACCTCGTAGTTCAGCTCGCCGAGGCGACGAAGTACCTTGTATGGTCCAAAGTACCGTTTCAGCAGTTTCTCACTGAGGCTGCGGCGACGGATGGGCGTCCACACCCACACCCTGTCTCCAGGCTGGAAGTGAACGTCCCTGCGACGAAGGTTGTAGCGGCCCGCGTCGACGCGTTGCTGGTCTTGAATCATGAGTCGGGTGAGCTGGCGGACTTCTTCGGCGCGTTGAGCAACCGCCTGGGCGTCGTCGCTCTCATTGTCAGATGGCTCATGGGGCAGCATTGCGTCCAGCATGGTCGTTACCTTCCGACCATGTACCAGCTGGAAAGGGGTGAATCCAGTGGTCTCCTGAACCGCTGTATTGTAGGCGAACGTGACGTAGGGCAACACCTTGTCCCACGTCTTGTGCTCTACGTCGACGTACATAGAGATCATATCGGCGATTGTCTTGTTGAGTCGCTCGGTCAGTCCGTTGGTCTGCGGGTGGTATGCAGTGGTTCGACGATGGCCGGTGCCACTGAGACGAAGGATCTCTTGCGTCAGCTGGGCCATGAACGAAGATCCGCGATCTGTAATCAGAACTTCGGGAGCGCCGTGCCGGAGGACGATGGACTCGATGAAAAACTTGGCGACTTCCACAGCAGTCTCTGAAGGAAGAGC